ACAGGGGACAAACGATCGCACTAGCTCGAAGCGAGCTCGTACTTTCCGCTGCACGTCGTTTGTGATTTCGGCTAGCGTCGTACCATGACGGCGTACGAGCAAAGGAGACGTGGAGGTAGACACACTGGAGCGAACTCCGTCGGTGGCGCTCAGCTAGCTCTAGCACTAGAGCGATGATTCGCAATGCGAGTCGTGCTCGACAACATGTTGATGGCGAAGACGACGTTGATTGCACCGACGATTGCGTGCTGCATCTCGGTCCCTCGGTCCACGCTCAAAAATCAAATTTGTGATGTCGAGATCCGCCAGCCAGCGTAAACGAGTTACCGGTATGCGAGCTATCGAACACCAAAGTTGTGCTATAGCTCAACATAGTACAACTACGACAAGCCCGCTTTGCATCAAGGGGCATGATCACCGTTGGCGGGCTCGATCGCTCATTGCATGCTGCAACCTGGTAGCATCCATGCTGCGGCCCCGAGAGTAACCAGTCGAAGCCGAGCCCTTCCGCGCGATGGCGGCCATACCGTCGACCCATGATTGAGATTCCAGCTCTTGGCAGCATCGGCCATGCATATAGGCGACTGCGCCCGGCGCTCAAGAGAACAACAGAGGTTCCCGGCTCACGAGTGTGGGCCGTGCCGCGCGGCCGCCGAGGCTGTCCTTCGTGCCGTGCACCGTGCCGCCTGCGATACTTGGCCGATTTCACCGCTTTCTTCGAGCTCGCGTCGCGCGGGTGCTTCCAGAGCTACGTCGATAGAGGACTGGCACCTGTGCCGGAGATGCCTCGCGCTCAACACATCGTGGATGCAGCAGTTGCCTCGAGGGCGACGACGGGTTCGTCCGGTCTTGATCTTTTTGGCCCGTGCCTTGTGACAAGGACTTCCTCGCCAACTTCAACGCGCCAACTTCAAGTTCCAGCCTTCGAACTTCGGATGTCCCTGCCAATCGCAGGTGATGGGAATCTTTGATTGGCGACTTTTAGCCAATCAAAAATGGTGAATCTGGACGGTCACATGTGATTGGCGCCACGGCGGCCGCGGCCGTGATTGCCCAATTCGATGTGGCGCCAAACGAACCAAAGTGAACGAGCGCCTGTTTGTGCAGTCGTCGCTGCAGTCAGTAGATGCAGTACCCAGCGATATACCCACAACGTCTACCTACATGCAATAGGAAAAGGGCAACATTTGCATATCTGGCACCTCGCAGGCAATGACCACAGCTCGACTGCTTGGTGCCAGGAACGGATGCCCCTGCCGTCTACACGGTACAAACCATGAAGTCGCTCCCCATCGTCCAGCGTTGCACGGCAGTCGGCGTCCCTTCGTTTCAGCCACATTGGCTTGAAGTTGGCCACGCATTGCAAATATCAAGTTTCACAGGTTGGACAAACGATCCAATCACGCTTCAGAAAACGCGCGGTGTAATGGCTCGAGACCAAGTGACGAGCGAAGATTTCAGCGTCACATGTCCCTCGGCACCCATGGCGCCTCCACGTAGCGTCTCACGCATCGGGTCCCTTTTCAACCGTGCACGTCGCTTCGCCTGTTTCTGCGCCGCTGCCAGCCACTGCACCGACGTCCTGCACCGACGACTAGGAGACTCCTACTAACTAACTAATTGCCACTGCAGTCTCGGCCGCGTCTCGATCGGGAGCCCATGCGACGACCCAGGTTGAACCTGGCGCATGCACCTGTTGACAGTGACACAGTCGTTTACGAGGGCAGCTCCAAAGCCCGAAACGCAACTTCGAACTTCGTTCTCGCATCTGATTGGCCAAAAAGATACCGGCCGCGGGCCAAACGGTCGCGAGGGGTCGTTTTTAATACGAAATCTTTTTGATAGCTTGACATTTGTATGGAAAGGAATTAAAATAGCGTCCAGCGCAACGAGGGGCGTGGAGGAAAAAGCCCAAGTCACTTTTTGTTTGGCTCCAAGAACCGAAGATGTTGCAGCGCATCTCGACCAAGACGCCCGCGGCCTCGCTCCGCTCGCTCGTCGCGCCCGCCAGCGCGGCCCGCCCGTTCTCGTCGGCGGTATGTACAGCGCCAAGATGACGGCGCGAGGCAGGAGCATGGAGCTTGCATCGCGCTGCGTCGATCGATGGGCAGCATGATGCTCATGGCAGCTGTAGGCGGAATCCAAGGACGACTTGACCGAGTCACTGCAGTCGCTTCAGAAGGAGACCGCGGCCAAGACGGTCCCGTGGTTCCTCGAGAACATGCCGGCGGCCTACTTCCGCGCCATCACGAAGGAAGACCGCCTGCACCACTTGAACGCGATCACGTCGCTCGTGAACGCGCAGCAGCCCGAGATCCTCTTGAGCTCGCCGGACAAGAAGGTCTACTCGTACATCCGCACGGGCGAGCAGTACCCGGGCTTGCTCTCCAAGATCATTGAGCAGCTCCCGAACGACCCGTCGGTCGGCCAGCTCGCGCGCGTCAAGATCTTTTCGTCGCTCGACGACACGTTGGCGCTCGACGTGTTCCGCTTCGGTCGCCAGGAGCCGTTCCGCAACGCGACGCCCGAGGAGAAGGCGGCGCTCTCGTCGCTCCAGGCCTTCTGCAAGGAGATCCAGGACGGCAAGCACAAGGGCGACGAAGGTATCCCCGCGGCTGCCCACTACTTTGAGCCCGCTGCCGTCGAAGAGTTTGCCTCGATGTGCAACACCATGTACATCCAGTACAGCAACCCGCGCCGCCTTGCGTCGCAGATTGCGCTCTTCAACCGCGTCCGTGGCACGGAAGGCGTCGTCGTCGACGTCGAGCACGGCTGGGAGCACAAGGACAAGGAGAACAAGCTCGCGGGTGGCCAGGTGCCCCAGACGATGCTCACGATGGCGTGCTCGAACGTGCTCACCAAGCACACGCTCCAGCGTGCGGCCACGTACTTGAGCTTGAAGAACCTCAACATTCGCCGCGCCCACTTGGACGTCGTCGACGACCGCAAGTCGGGCAACGGCACGGTCTCGATGGTCCGCATCCTTGTCTCGCCCAGCGAAGAGGACCACCGCGCCAACGTCAAGCTCGACTGGAAGGAGATCGCGGCCGACCTCAAGTACCTCAAGTGGCTCGACGACCGCCCGCTCAACATGGCGCTCAAGCACAAGAACGTCTCGATCTCGCATGCCGAGATCATTACGACGTACGCCCACATGCTCCACGGTATGCTCGCCAAGGTCGACCCGTACGCCTACTCGCTCCCGCGCATCCTCGAGGTGCTCAACCAGCCGCAGCACGTCGGTCTCGCCGCGCAGATCGCCGACCTCTTCCTCGAGCGCTTCGACCCGAACGCCCCGAAGAAGATGTCGTCGGACGAGTTCAACGCGCGCCGCGAGGCCATCAAGATTGATATCCGCCGCAACGTCGAGGCCGAAGACACGATCCGCCTCCTCAACACGATGGTCGACGCCGTGGGCGCCACGCTCCGCACGAACCGCTACGTCAAGCACCGGTATGCGCTTGCGCTCCGCATGGACCCGTCGGTCCTCGGCTACGGTACCGTCGGCAAGGAGTCGCCGTACGGTGTCTTCTTCATCAACGGCCGCAAGTTCAAGGGCTTCCACGTCCGCTTCCGCGACATTGCCCGCGGTGGTCTCCGCGTCGTCTCGCCGCCGTCGGCTGATGCGCATGCGCTCGAGAGCGCGCGCCAGTACAACGAAGCGTACAACCTCGCTTTCGCCCAGCAGCTCAAGAACAAGGACATCCCCGAAGGTGGCTCCAAGGCCGTCGTGCTCGTCGAACCGCATGTGTACAACGACCCGGTGACCAAGAACTTCATCATCCGCAAGAGCGTCAAGGCCTTCTCGGATGCGCTCCTCGATCTCAACACGACGGACGAGGCGGTCAAGAGCCAGGTGGTCGACTTCTACGGCAAGGACGAGCTCATCTACCTCGGCCCTGATGAGAACATCATCCCGGACGACATTACGTGGATGACCAAGCGCGCTGCGTACCGTGGGTACCCGATCCCGCGTGCGTTCATCTCGTCCAAGCCCGACGTCGGTATCAACCACAAGGTGTACGGTGTCACGTCGGAGGGCGTTGCTGTCTTTGCCGACGTGGCGCTTCGCTCGCAGAACATTGACCCGAAGAAGCAGCCGTTCACGGTCAAGATCACGGGCGGCACGGACGGTGATGTGGCTGGCAACATCATCAAGATCCTCGCCCGCGACTACGGCACCAACTTCCGCGTCGTCGGTATCTGCGACGGCACGGCGACGGTCGAGTCGCCGGAAGGCATTGACATGGACGAGCTCCTCCGCCTCGTCGACGAGTCGCTGCCGCTCTCCAAGTTTGATGCGTCCAAGAAGGGCGACGTCATCCTTGCGGACACGCCGGAAGGCATCCGTGCGCGCAACTCGCTCCACAACCGCGTCAAGTCGGACCTCTTCATCCCTGCCGGTGGTCGCCCCAACACGATCAACGAGCACAACTGGCGCGAGTACCTCGACCCGGCGACCGGCAAGGCGTCGTCGCCGTTGATTGTTGAGGGCGCCAACCTCTTTACGACGCCGGAAGCTCGCCAGGCGCTCTTTGACAACGCCGGTGTTGTCATTGTCAAGGACTCGTCGGCCAACAAGTGCGGTGTCATTTGCTCGTCGTACGAGATTGTCTCGTCGATGCTCCTCGAGCCCCAGGAGTTCCTCGACATCAAGGACGAGCTCGTCGACGATGTCGTCAAGAAGCTGCGTCAGCTCGCACTCGTCGAAGCCGAGCTGCTCTTCCGCGAGTACAAGCAAAACCCGAACGCCGCGCTCCCGCCGTCGTCGGAGCGCATCTCGCGCGCGATCACGCGCCTCCACGACTCGATCTTGGCCAACTTTGACAACATCGCCGAGGACAACCGCGAGCTCCTCGACTCGCTCATCGCCGAGCACTTGCCGGCCAAGCTCCGCGCGGTCGCCCTCGACCGCGTCAACGCCCAGGTGCCGCTTGCGTACATCAAGTGCATCGTCGCCGCCGGTCTTGCCAGCAAGATTGTGTACCGCGAAGGCCTCCAGTACGTCGAGACGCTTCCGGAGAGCAACCTCGCCAACATTGCCGTCTCGTACCTCAAGCAGGAGAAGAAGGTGCAGGCGCTTGTCGGCGAGCTCGGCGCGTCCAACCTCGCCCACCGCGAAGAGATGGCCGACCTCCTCATCCGTGGCGGTGTCCGCGCCGGTGTCGCGACCTTGTAAGGTCGCCTTTGGAAATTACGACGCTTAGTAATATATGGATATATAGGTTTCTTTTCCTTAGTCTTGACCTTGCAGGAACCGGCTAGGAGCGGTGGGTGGGAACACAGTGACCCACGGGCCGCAGCTCGAGCTTGAGCTTGAGCCAACGGGCTACCGGCTGGCACATGTAGACACACAACCCAGGGACCGATGCCCTTGGCTCTTGGCCGTGGGAGGTGTGCGACGAGCAGCCACACGTCAAAGCTCCTGCTGCCCGGCAGGCTACGGAGCGACTCTATGCTACAGGAGTGGACGACGCGGTGGAGGTGGTCGTAGATCTTGAGAGGTGCTGCAAAGGGTGGTTGAATGCTGAAAGATTCGTACTTTGACCCACTGCTTTAAACGGGAAGGAAGGTCCCGAGGACGGTTGCTGTTTGGTGTCAAGAACCTCCTTCCGATGCTAACACAAAGGGACAACGCCCCTCCTGCATATAGGAGTCCAGGGCACAAGGCCGTCGACTAGGAGTGATTTGCATGGTGGTGGCGACTTGATAGATTGATACAAAAGAAGATTCCAGACGGTTTCGGAATGACGTGGCAGTTGCTCCGGCCTGCAATGGAATGCAAGCAACGACCTGCAAAGAAAGCATCCTCTTGGTGTAGCATGGGAATTGCATCGCTGCCATGACGATGCTGGCTGTACATCCGTGACTCCAGGAGGTCATATATATGTATATATACATTTGTGCGGCCCATCGAGCCTTGCCTCTTTCTTTGGTGCTCGATGCTGGGACCAAACCGTATAATCGAATACAATCAAGCAGATAGAAGAAATCCAACAGAGCGGATAGCCGCACTGGATAGAAGCTCACGATACATGCACAAGCCCATGTTGGCACCACAACCCGGGCAAGACACAACCTTTGACACAAGTATATGATTTTTATCTGTCGACATTCGTAGGGGTGGGCCGCTGGCTCGAGTCGTTGTCCGCTTCGGGTACTTGGTCGAGAAGCTGACCTTACCAGAGTTCGTTGGCAACGGAAGAGGCACGGACCTTGATGTATGAGGCAAGTCGATGCGCTCGATTGCTCCAGCCGACAGCTCTGATTGCCTCCCATGACGCACGCACAAGAGGTTCGGAAAAGGACGGACGTCGACAGGCACAACTGGCCCCACCGAGGATTACAGTGTATTGCAGATCCTCAGACACTGTATGGGACGCAAATCGAACGCCAGTGATAGCAGGTGCGACGGCTGCGTCGCCTGATAACGACCGGTGGTTGGCGCCAAGAAACCATGGAAGCGTGCAAGATGGAAGAGGAAGGTGCCACCGTGCGACGTCGACCACATAAAACTCGAATTTCAGAAACAAGCTACTCCGCGATGCTATCGTATATCATGCAGGCTACTCGACGTTCGAAGAAGAAGCAGCCTTCGATGAATCACTGGTGGGAAGAATCGCTGGTCCGCAGCCGCTGCACCTTCCACTGTTTCGTACAAGCAGTGGATGCCAGCGATTTCTGAACTTTTGCCGAGTAAAATCGTGGTCGCAAACCAACGGCCACGAGCGTGTGCAGTCATTATTGTTGGGTGATAATCGACTGGCGCCGTCGTCCACGACATGTGGGCTTCTTCAAGCTTTGCCGTCGGCACCCATCGGGCCAGCGATGTGGACCCTGGTTGTCGCACGCCACAACCCGCAATGGCCATGGACTGCACCTAACGTTTCATTGGTGGACATGCAGGACACGCGCGCTTTTGATTGGTGGTCATGACACATACGTCGACCAATCAGAAACGGCGAATGAAAATAGATCCATAGCAGTTTGCCGAAATGGCCTGGTGCAGCCGGACCGCGCGGTCGACGGGCCCGACCGGCGCAAGCACCGCAGCCACGGTCGGGCCGGGCAGCTACAGCGCGAGCTCGACGTCGTACCAGCCCAAGCCCAGCTTTGCCGCCTTTGGCTCGTCCGGCGCGAAACAAGCGGCAACCGAGCTGCTCTTGCGCACGCCCGGGCCGGGCGCATACGAGAACGACCGCATTGCGCATGTGCTTGCGATTGCCGAGACGAAGAGCTCGTTCTTCAAGTCGACGTCCGAGCGCAGCACGGCCAAGCTCGGCCTCGCGAGCACGCCTGGTCCTGGCAGCTACAAGGGCGCCGAAGTGAGCTTCACTGCCGGAAAGCGCACCAAGCCGCTGTACGTTCTACACTACTTTAGAGATGCATGGCGTGATGCTGGAGCGGATTGACTAGATCGCCTTCTCGTAGACGCCGGTCGAGCTCGACGGGCGCGTACCCGGACCACGTCGCCAAGTCGGGCAAGGTCAAGTGGGTCCGCGTGCCCACCGCGCCGTCAATTCCCAACATTGGGCAGAGCTTTGGCTACGAAGAAGGTCCGAAAGGGCAAATGATTGCTCAGAAACCTGCGCACTTGGGCCACTCGTACGCGATCGTTTCGCTTGTACACGGCTCACACTTTGTCGTACGTAGCGGTCGCGCCGAAGACCTCACGGGCCCCGGCGAGTACGACCCGCTCGACGCTATCCACCGCTTGGACCGACCAAAGGGCACCAACTTTGCAAAGTCGCGCACCGTGCGGGACAAGCCGATCAAGAAGGACGCACCGGGGCCTGGCGCCTACGACCCGGACATGACACCACTCACCTTTGCCAAGCCAAGCGCTGTCTTCAAGTCGAACTTGACGCGGGAAAAGGCGGCGCGACCTGTGCGCGATGCGACGCCGATCCCCGGCCCCGGTGCATACAAGCAACCGGTGGGCATCAAACCCGCACGAAAGCCCGAGCATCTACAGTTCTTTGGGAGCACGTCGTCGCGCTTCGAGTCGGAGAAGCTGATGGCGCACCCGTCGCCTGCGTACACGCCCGAGCCACGCCCGACGCTCACGCACAATGGCCCGGCGCGCCACGCTGCACCGTTCGCATCAACGCAAGAGCGGTTCGAAACGACCTTGACCAAGGAGCACTTTGACGTTGGGCCCGGCTCATACGAAGCGTCGTCGATCGTCAAGGAGCTTTCGCACAAAACGGTAGCACGTTTGTTGATGGCGGGTTGGAACTCGCGCGTTAGAGTGGACGGGCGGGCGTGTTTGGTACCACCACGCGGCGGTTTGAGGCGCCAAAGTCGAGCTCCGATGCCCTGCTTGAAAAGATCCTCGAGCACAGTGCCGGGCCTGTCAGCAGCAACCAAGGTACTTGTCGCTCAACGAGGCGTGCGAAGATTCGTGTGGCGCAGAGTCGACGTCCCCCGACAACCACGCCAAGAAGAAGACATCGAGCTTCGCGTCGGGCACGGCCCGCTTCGCCGGCGGGAAGAAGGATGCGGCTCCGTGCGTCGGCGATTATGAGGTGCGCATCGTCTAGCGTGATCGAGCCAACGATGGCATATCGCATTATTGCGCAGATATCCATGTCCTGGGACAAGCCGGGCGGCCGGTCGACGTTCGCCTCGCATTTGACGCGCGATGTCTCGCAAAAGGACAAGCTCGCAATCCCGGTACAACTCCTTTCTTAGTCGTCGCTCAAGGGTAAATAGGGCCCCGGCGCGTACTCGACGCCCGACGTCGCCACGCTCCAAAAACCACAGAACCGACGTGGTGACGTGTTCGTCTCGACGGTTCACACTGTGTACGCCATCTTGTTCTACCAGGATGCATTAGGAGCCGCGTTTCAAGAAGACGCTTACGCCGCTCGCCAATGTGGTAAGCTCTTTTGCATCATCTTTTCATTTTTTATATTTTTGCACTTTGCATTTTCGTGCAATTTGGGTGTCGTACACACGTCGAATGATGTTCGTCGGCCATCATCGCGACAATGAATGTAAGCGTGATGCTTGGTCTTGTAGGGCCCCGGCGCGTACAACCCCGACACGATCGAGTCGGACTGGAATCGCCCGACGTACAACATTACGATTGCCACCGAGATGGAACGACGCTTGGCCTAAGACCAAGATTCCAAGCTCGCACCCGATGCATTGGTGCGCCCGCCCATGTACTCGACAAATAGAGCAGCGTCAACGTCCACCCTAAAGTGTGTGTGCATGTTTCCTTCTTGGCGCGCAGCTGAAGCGTTCCGGCGTTCCCAGAAGAAATCTGACATTCGCAACCAGAAAACCAGAGATGAACGTTGTCGTCGACGCGGCCCGCCGCGGTGCGCAAGTCCAAAACTTGGCGTCGTAATCGAGCATATCGCAGCGTCAACTGCAACGGGCTGTCCTGTTCTGTCCAGTCCGCGCGGTTCCGCGACCGAGAGTTGCACCGAGGGAATCCACCCAAGTTTCAAAATTTGTTTTCGGTCCCACGTTGGCGCCATGGCGGTCGCCAGCACGACGTGCCACACGGGTCAGCGCACGCCACCGGCCTCCTATCCCGCACACCGCAAGGCATACGTACATACAATAAATAGCATATTGAGAGAGCGCTTGGATGTCCGTCGGGCTCTGCTTCAAGTCGCGCAACAGGACATGGCCTGGCACCAGTTGGCGTGCGTCCAGTACATTCTGTCCGAGCAAGAAGGGAATTGCCCTGTCCACCGCCACCTCGGGTACAGTGGGACCTGTTGCACTGAGCGCCTGCGAAAAACGCAGGATGGGCTTGTGCAAGACAGTGGTCGTCGCAATCCATACACTGTATTCTCCGCCACCATCAATTATTCTGGTGTTGGATCCAGTATTTCAGTTTTCAATTTCACTTGTCGAGCACATTTCAACGATGAGTTCGATGGACCGCTTCATTGTTCAGCGCGAGATCGCGTCGGTCGCGTCCGGCAAGGTGCTTCTCTGCACCGACAAGATGACGCAGAAGGACGTCGTTGTCAAGCGCATTCGCCACACGTCGGGCCCCGAGAAGGCGATTCACCGCCACTTGAGCAAGCTCGGCGGCCACGAGCATGTGCTCCAGCTCCTCGGCGACTTTACCGAGGCTGGCTACGACCACTTTGTGCTCGAACACTGCCCGAAGGGCGAGCTCTTTGACCTTGTCTCGCGCGCTTCGCGTCTCGAAGCGCCGATCGCGCTCCACTACTTTGAGCAAATCGTCGCCGGCGTCGCGTTCATCCACCGTCGCGGCTACGCGCACATGGACCTCTCGCTCGAGAACGTGCTTGTCGACGCGCAGGGCGCCATGAAGGTCATCGACTTTGGCCTCGCGGTCGCCATCGACCGCCCGCAGCGCAACGCGGTCGGCAAGTACTTTTACATGGCGCCGGAAATGTTCACGGGCGCCACCTACGACGCCGCAGCGGCCGACATCTGGTCGCTCGGCATCATGCTATTCATCATGCTCACGGGCAACCCGCCGTTCTCGCAGGCTGTGCCCTCGGACGCGGTCTTTGAGTATGTCGCCAACTATGGTCTGCGCGCGATTGCGACATCGTGGAAGGTCGACCACTTGATCCCGGCCGCGACCATGGACCTCCTCGAACAAATGCTCTCGATCGACCCGGCGGGCCGCCCGCGCATCGACGACATCCTTGCGGCGGTCACGCCCGTCGTCGAGACCAAGCCGCACAAGGCGGAGAAGGCGGCCAAGCACAACCACGTCCGCGCGTTCCTTAAGAACGTCTTTTCGCACTCGTCCAAGAAGGTGGCCGTGTGGCAATGAGCTGCGCGCCTTTTAGGATTCTTATTTATCGAGCATTAGTCTTATTCTAGTTATTATCTATCCATCGAATTGTTTTCAAGTACATGAATGGTGTTGTCCCGGAGCCGCAGCAGTGGCCGTGAGCAGTGGCCGTGAGCAGTGGCCGTGGCACCTAATGCATCGCAACCGAGCTGGCGGCGTCGGCTCGAAGCGACACGCACGACGAGGTGGACAGGATGGCGGCGTCGCAGATGTGCGCGACGAACGAACCGCGATGTCCGATGAACTTCATCACGCGACCGCACGCTGTTTCGTTATCTCGCGGGACATGTGCACGGAGCGCCCGTCGCCCGCGTTGACGCAGCAAGCGCTTCGCGTCAACACATCTTGGCGTCAACACAGAGTCTGGTGCCAGAGATTCTGGGTTAGCCACTGGTTCAACCGCTGGATGCGCATCCACTGGAAAGGCCGAAACCATCGAACGTCTCAGTCGGAGGAGAATCTGGGCGGGTTGATAGCTCCTTCAATCCCAGAAGCTTCGCAGCCGTGCGTTCGACATAGATGGGCCACGCAGTTGCGGCTCAGATTCGCCAAATCGTAGTCGATGCCGTCAACTAACTACGAGTCGACACACTGCGGATGACGCGATGGATGACGACGTCCCGCAGCTGTTGATTGCGCCTCGACGATTGCGCGCGCTCGATCACGCCATGATGCGCCTGCGGAATCGCAACGGCCCTTTGCGTAATCGCGTTAAACTCGAGTCCAAGAGGAGGCTAAAGACAAATGTTGGTCGTTGTAGTACGCAACAATGACCTCTGAAACGCCGGTCCCAACCAAGATTTGATTCCCTTGGTTCCTACGGCAGGACGCACGGCAATCATGTATGCGCCAGCGTATACGTGCGTGCAAGCATGACGCGAGTGCGTTCGCCAGTCGGCCGTCGGACGCACGAGCACTGGCTTGCACCGCGGTGTAATGACCGGTGGCGGTTTTGTGCCAAGGTACGGTCAACGACATCGATCTCAGTCGCGTGCGCGCGTCAACCCAGCGTCGCAAGATCCGCACGTGAGCTCAAAGCACAATGCGTTTTACGTCACGTCTCGTCAACGTTGGGACTCCCACAGGACCAGGAGGCAGCCTCGACCCGGCCTGGTTACGGAGATAAGTCAACAATGTATAGATGCAATTGATATGGTACTGTCCGTCGTCCAGTAGAGATCGCGTACAAGGTTACATCTACCGCTCTCGAACCTGAGTCGTTCGCGCCGTTCGTTTAGGGAGCGTGAACGAATGTTATCGCACCGCGGGATCTTGCTTGCATCCCAGGTGGCATCCGCCGTCCGCCAACGCTACGTATCGCAAGCCTCGTGGCTTCGAGTCCCGCTGGCGCTTCGATTCCGCCGACAATACATACTATGCTATATACGTGTGCTTTGTGTCTATGCATCGTGCTTGGTGCTTGGTCCTTTGCGTCATCGCACTGCAGGCATCAGTCGCGCTTCGCGTCGAATCATTGGACCAACATTCGGAATGACCTGGGTTAAACCCATGCGACGTTAAACGCTGAGTCCGAGCTTGGAGGTCGCGTTGCATTGGTCCGTTGGCGGCGTCTAAATATACGCGCCAATCAGCGCAAAGTATCAAAAATAGATCGACCAATCGCCGTGTTGGATGCGTTGGCCCAAGCCACCCAATGGCATCGAAGCCGGACGCCACGGTCGCATTCCACAAGAAGCCGACGCATGGACAAGTACGTCAACCGCCGCCTGCTCGCGCCCGCGCTCTTCGGCGACGTGCTCCTGTGCACGGACGCCATGACGCACCGGGACGTGGTCGTCAAGGCCATGGATCTCGACCGCGCCGCCGCCCACGCCACAACCGACGGCCTCCCGGTATGCTCCGACATCGATGCTGGCGACGTGCTCACCGCGTGATGCTAGGTGCACGAAGACATCACGATGGAGAAGCGCGTCTACACGCAGATGCAGCTCCACGGTGGCCACGCCAACATCCTCCGGCTCCTTGCGTGTTTTGAGGCCGACGGCCGAGACCATTTCGTGCTCGAGTATGCGAGCCGCGGCGACCTCTTCTCGCAGCTTCGAACGCAGCAGCGCTTCCGCGCCTATGAAGCGCGTGCGTACTTTGGCAACATTACCGCCGGCCTCGCTTTTCTCCACGACCGTACGTTGTGTGGCACGTTGCATTCAACACTCACCGCGTGACTAGATGGCTTTGCGCACGGCGACCTCTCGCTCGAGAATGTGGTCGTGACGGCCGACAACACTTGCAAGCTCATGGACTTTGGCCTGGCGTCGGCGCTCGCTGACGGGCCACGGACCGTCGCCGTCGGCAAGTACTTTTACATGGCCCCCGAAGTGTTTCTCGGCCAGCCGTACGACGCGGCGACGGCCGACATGTGGTCGCTGGGCATGCTTCTTTTGATCATGCTCACGGGCATGCCTCCGTTTGGCAGAGCCAATTGCACTGGTACGAGAATCGACTCGAAATCTACGTGGTCTCAGACTTGTACTAGATCCCGTCTTTCTGGCGTACCAGACGCACGGCATCCGGACCATTCTCAAGGGCTGGAAGGTGCTGGCGTATTTTTCGAGTGACGCGATCGACCTGATTGAACACCTCCTCGTCGAAGACCCTGCGAAGCGCTTTAGCATGAAGCAAGTGCTGTCGCATCCGTTCTTGGCGCGCCCGTCGTCGCCCGCGTCGCCGACCCAAGACCGCATCAAGAAGCGCGTGCGCGTTCAAAACTTTTTCCGGCGTCTCTTTGGTGGCAAGCGTGGCACGTCGTCGCTCGATCTGCTCGCCAATAGCCAGTGGCACTAGACCAAGGTCGTCCAACCTTCTTTTTATTTATCAAATGTAATTCTCGTTTATATAAGTTCATGGGCCAGAGAGATGAGCTCTCCGTCCAACGTTCCGATGCCCCAATATGGAGGCAGCCCAGAGGCCCAGAGGGTCCACGGCTTTGATTGGTGGTCACCGCCGACGCGGCAAGCGAGCTCGAGCTCGTGCCCAAAGTCGTCTCGCGCGTCGACCTCTCGATGCGGTACGAATTCAAGCAGCGCGGCCTCTCTGGACGATCTCCACGACTCCGCCAACGTTGCCGAAATACGACATGCTGAAGCTGTCGAGGACGTGGGAGCCCGGCAACTCATCGATTGATCTCCCCAGTCTTTGCCACGGTTTGAATGTGTGGGAATAGGGGAAGAAGAGAGCGCACATGTTCCTGAAACACTTTCGAACAAAGCACATATCTTACGTCATGTGATTGGCCCCTGGACTGTCGAAACGTGTCGTTCTCAACTGGCCACGACGCGCCGCCACGTGGCGAGATCATACCTCGGGAGCGAGCGGAAGACGATGGCTCGTCTTTTCAAAGGCCGCGCTCAGTGCTGAACTCCACAAGGCAGCGCGAACCGCAAACACATGACAAGTGCTATACTCTACTAGCTAATAGACGAGTGTTTAGCATGAGCTAGCCAGAAACAACCACTGTCCTTCGCTCCAAGTTCTACGGTGGACACACGTTCTATATATAGTCGGACCGTTACGTGTCCACAGCATCTGTCTTGATGGACATATCGACACGTAGATCCGAGAGCGCCATGCACATGTACCTTGAGAGCGGCACAACATAATCTCGAATCCAATTTCTTATATCCTGTCAAGGGACTAGGCAGCTACGACCAGGACAATGACATTTTTGCGGTCGTGTGCGACGACGCCTCCTCGGGGATCCTGGACGCCGGCACTTCTCTCGAAGCAAAGACGCTGCGATCGGTGCAAGAGAATGTACCTCCTTTCCATTCAACCCGATGCAGCAAACTCCTGCCGATGCTCATCCTGCTCCGCATGTGTATGTACTGTATGTTGAACTACCTTGCACCTCGTCTTCGTGCCACCGACGACCAACTTCATAGTCAACGACCAGTGGCGGCGCCGTTGCCAACACGCGATGGGTCACAACCTTTCTCTCGCCTTCTGCAAGTAGCCCGGGCGAACATCACTCGTTTACACGATGGTCCAGAGGCCGAGACAGCCTCACGATCTCCGTCTGGTTGCCTTGGCGGAGTTCTCGCCCAACGCAGCAAGATACTACGTCCAGCAACCGCCCAACCACGTACACGTAGAGTACTGTGTACGAGGAGAAATCGGCCTTGCCTTCGCTTCAGCCGGCAGAGACTGCGGCTACTGCGGCACGTTGAAGTTGCGGGAGGGCGTTGCAGGCTCTTCATGAATATATTCTGGCCTTGCAATACCAAGCCCCATGTAATAAAACGCACGAGGGCGTCATGGAAAATATATCCTGTACAATATTACCTGGCAACTCAAGTCGATCGACCCATTTGGCATTTGGGACCAGCGCACGAATGCGCGCCAAAAATGTGGGGCATCTGGAATGCCACATGGCGCGCTTGTGGCCCAAAGATACGCTACCCCGGGGCACGAGGTGGCCAAAGCCACGGCATGGCCCCGTCGCTACCGAGGCTAGACGCACGCAACTTGGAACGCACCTGCGGGCGACCTTTGCCGGCACGACGCTGCAGCTGCTGCAATTGGAACATGCCATCGAACGCTGACATCTGTCCGGAATGATATACACCGTTGATGCGCAGCAAGCCCTGCGCAGCGTGGACCCTGCACACGAGGTCATGCTGCAGGCACGTCGGTCCAGGACGACCCGCTTGCTGCAACGTTTAGCGTTGATGCGGTATAGCATCGACGCGCCAGGACCACCGGCGTGTGGAGTAGGGTGCATGCACTCTTCTGGGCGGCGCCTCCAATCGTTGCAACAACCTCGGCGCGATCATACCCTGCAACTGCAACCCAACTTGCGTGCTTTTAGCCTTTTACAAACCAAACCCCGGGGCATCTGGTGAGGCCAGTGCGCGAATGACCGCGACGTGTCATAAACACGCGACACTGGGATTATAGCCAATGGCCTTGCAGCGTCAAAAAATTTGGCTGCGATCGGCGGCGCAAGCTCATTCATCAATCGTCGCCATGGACAAGTACGTAGTGCTTCGCGACGGCAGCCTCGCGACCTGCAGCGAGAAGAAGTCGGGTCTGCGCGTCGCCATGCGGCGGCTACCTGCCCACAAGGCGCACAAGGCCACGCCCCGCAGCGTCCTGCCCACCGAGAACGCCGAGATGGAGCGCCGCGTGAGCCGCGCGCTGAGCGCCAAGGGCGGCCACATGCACGTGCTCAAGCTCCTCCGCGACTTTCAGGAGAACGACATGGAGCACTTGGTCTATGAGCACTGCGGCGCCGGCTCGGTCTTTGACGTCCTGTGCACGTCTGCGACGAAGCGCTTTAGCCCCGCACGGACCATGGGCTTGTTTAGCCAAATCGTCGACGGCGTCGCGTTCATGCACAAGCGCGGGTTCGCGCACTGCGACCTCTCGCTCGAGACAGTGCTCGTGACGGACAATGGCACGTGCAAGCTCGGGTTCTTTGGCCTGGCTGCCGACGTCGGCAAGCTCTTAACACAAGCAGTCGGCAAATACATTTACATGGCGCCCGAAATGTACAAGGAAGCGACGCTGTTCGAGCCGTCGTCGACCGACGTCTGGGCGCTCGGTATCATGCTCTTTATCATGCTCACGGGCGTCGCGCCGTTCCGCCAAGCGCGGCGTCTCGACGATCGGTACGAGTGCCTCCTGACGTCAGGCGTCAACGGCCTCGCGTCGCTGCTCCGCGTCGACCATTTGATCTCGACACAAGCCATGGACTTGCTCTCGATGCTCCTCGTGCCGTCGCCTTTGGAGCGGGCGTCGATCGTCGACGTGGCCAACCACCCGTACGTGGTCGGGGACCGGCAGCCGAGTAGCAAGCAGCGCAGCTTCTTCCAGAAGGTGCTCACGCCACTTCGGCTACCCACGCGCCGGCAAAGCGTCGAATGTGGCGACCGGCAGCGCGCGTTCACGATCCCCCACCGCCTCTAAGCCCTCTGTAACATTGTACTATTTATCACTAATACTGGATGCCCATCTTCGCATCAACATCCTCTCGTTGTGTTACTATCGCCTGGCGTGGTCTGAAGGCCGTGACCATGTCGTGGCTGTGCAACCGCCAGCTGCAGCGTGCAAGCTACTTCGCGGCTACTCGGTACCAACGCTGTTGCAACGACCGAAGCAACGCGCCGCCGTCGTCCGACCTCGCCACGTAATGCACCGCCTCGATGCGCCGGCAAGCTTCGTTGACCGCCATCGACGACAGTACCGAGGTGAGGTGGCGTGCGACGACCTCAACTAGGAGGTCGGAGCTCGAGGAGCGGACTGCGAAATGCACTTAGTGCCTGAGTGTCTCGAACTTTGTCGCGGTGGATGTCGCTGTCATGGGCCTCCGTCATGGGCCTCGGTCATGGGCTCTGTGAATTCTTGCTCACGTCCATACAAAGTGCAGGATGACGTCCTCGCCAAGGTAGAGGTCCCGACCGGCGGCGTCATCGCGCCTCTGCAATGCGACTCACGCTACGGCGCCACGTGGGTGCATACAAACTTTCATATACATCACATAACACCACCATTACAGCTGCCTCGTATGCCAGTTGGGCTGCATGCCATTCACCAAAAGTGCACCAATTCTCTTCGCCATGGACGCGTACGTGGTCGACAAGGTGCTCGCGAAAGCGCTGTACGGCGACGTTGTCCTCGCGACCGAGGTGGGCAGTGACCGGCGCGTGGCCATCAAGCGCATGCAGCTTGTGGCGGCGACGCGCCGGCTCTCGCTCGACGGCGGCGTCCCGATCGCCGAGGACATCACGATGGAGAAGACGGTCAACGACGCGCTCTCGGTATCGCCGCGCCACCCCAACATCATGGCCATGCTGCACTCGTTCGAACAAGACGGCTACATGCACTTTGTGTTCGAGTACTGTGCGCAAGGCGAGCTCTTTACGCACCCACTGCCGTCGCCGGCGCCGGTAGCGGCCTCGTACTTTCGCCAGATCGCAAATGCCATTGGGTTCATGCACGCCCGTGGCTTTGCCCATCGCGACGTCTCGCTCGAGAACGTGCTCATGGATGGCCCTGTGCCCAAGGTCTGCGACTTTGGCCTCGCGACGCATGTCCATCTCCGCGTCGCGCAGGCGGTCGGGAAGACATTTTACATGGCGCCCGAGATGTACACCAAAAAGCCGTACGACCCCGCGGCCGCCGACGTGTGGGCGCTGGGCATTCTCTTGCTCATTCTGCTCACGGGCGCGCCGCCGTTCGCGCGGGCCAACGACACCGACAAGGTTCATTTCTCCTCCATTGGACAATCGTTGACGGACGTTTGTAGGTCTTTGCCTACGTCAAGTCGCATGGGATCACGACGGTGCTTCGGGCGTGGAAGCTTGTGCACTTGGTGCCGGCGCCGGCGCTCGACTTGCTCGAGCGCATGCTGGTCGCGGACCCAAGTATGCGCATCACGATGGACCAGGTACGGCGATTTTGAAAGTGCAATCTGAAAATGACTTGGGGTTAGGTGCTGGCCCACCCGTTTGTGAAGGACCCAAAGGCCTCGACGCGCCCCCGCAAGCGTGTGGTACACCTCGTGCTCTGCATGTAGGCGTTGAGTCTGATGCCGCCTCTAGATTCTGCGCCGCTGGCTCAGTGTGCTTCGACGACGCATGGCCGAGTTTCTCAAAAACGTCTTTCCGTCCGTGCACGCCACTACGACACTCGCAGCGTCGCGCCGCAACGCGCTGTAGCTGCTACACGGCGTCGACGATTGTACCCTAAGTTTAAACCTCTTTTTTAATGCTACTTATTTCTCAACTTTCACAGACAATTTTGTGCATTTGTCATTTCGTCGGTCAAAGCTAGCATCACGTCACGGCAGCAGACCCGTCGAGCAGAGATCGAGCACAGAACGACAGTGGAATTATTACACGTAGAGACGTGTTGGCGGTGTTCTTGTACTAGTGTTATGTTCCATAGTGTCTTGACAATTTTGTGCATTTCGATGAAAAGGACCGCAAGAGAAACAGGCAGGCAGCGGACTCATGGGCCCGCGACGGGTCGATCGCTTGAAATGCCATGCCGCCTGTCCGTGGGTGGGCTCACTGACGCCTGTGCGGGACGGTGGACGTCGCCGAGCTGAGATGAACGAGGTCGAAGGCTGCGTGGGAGGATGGAAAACGGGCAAATAATATATTAGTTGGAGGTGGCGTCGCGATCGCAAGCGACGTGGTGTGGCAATGGCCGACGCGGGTGGATCGAGTCGCTTAAATAACACACGCCCGGTCACTGGACAATTGAGAAGAGCGCGCTCTCGCCGACAAGCTCGAGCATCCCGAGCTCCGAGACAGCGTAGGCCTTGATGAAGTAGCCGCCTTGGATGGGCATGCCCCAATGTACGCGTTTCCACTCAAAGCGACCGGTGTCTGCAGGCGCGTGCTCGGCGATAGTCGTGGGCACGTCCCACGCCTGGTTGCACACTTCGAGGCGCAGCACGCTGGCTTCGAACGTCGGGTCGACCGTAGTCCAGACAACGTCGGCGGCTTGGCCGCGACACCAGTCGATTGGCGTCGAGATCGTGAGTGCGCTGGGCTTCTCGTCCTTGTCGGCGGCGGCGGCGGCCGTGGTACGATGCATGCTATCGTGATCGTGCGCATGGTGGTGGTGGTGGTTATGCTGGACGCTCTCGAGCGAGAAGACAGCGTCCCAGGTCGACGCGCGCGACCGCGACGAGATGGCCGAGCGCACCGAATGGGCCGACCAGTAGTCGCCGCCCGGGTACGTCTGCGTCATCGCGGGGTCCATGCTGCTGCGACCGCGGGGTGGCAGGAGAAGTGGGCAGAGGAATAAATAATTCGATGTGCGTCACAAAGCCGTTCACTGGGAACGGGCTTGCCTCTGTCTTTTGATAATCGAGATCAAAAGAGAGAGGTTTTGACACAGGCCCGTTCGCGACATACACAACCGGTCAGTGGCGTCAATGCTGGCTGCTGCGCACATGTCGCCGTTAGGTGGTCGGCGCGCGCCACCTGGTACTGAGGACGATCGCCCAAGTTCAAGGTGACGCCAGGCCCGACCAAGACGGTATGCATTCGCCAACATGTTCATTGCCACGAGCGTTGGGACAGCACCCAGTTATAGCGGTACACAAGAGGAGCTGGTTCTTCGAAGCGAGGTCGTCAGTGAAGAAGCCAGCACGTCGATCTGGCCCGTTTACAGTATTGGCCGACGCCACGGCCCGCAAAGAAGAGGCGCCGGCAACGCCACTCACTGACGCCAGCTACGGTCGACTGCGAAAAATGAGCCTTCGTCGCAGCAACCGATAGCGGCATGATGGTCGTCGGTCGAAGGGACATGCGCAATGCACTTTGCAGGCAAAATCGACCTTGTACACTGTATGGTGTTGCGACGTCGCCTTGTACTGTGTAGTGTGAGTGCCATGTCAGATCCAATGCAATGGTCAGCGGTGGTCGACGCACGCCAGGCGCCTTGTTGGGTGCCACAAGGGGAAATCGTAAGAAACGCTGGGCCGACCACCGAGACGAGAGAGCGACTTGCAGGTCACGTGTCCATCCTGAAGCTCAACGAATTACAAACAATTGGGCATCGATTGTTGTGAAGGAATTTTCTTTATAGCCAATCCGTGCAACGGAAAGCGCCAGCACGACATACGATTGGCCACAGCGAAAAAGGCAAAAAGTATGACCAGCGTCGCCGAACTCGCGTGGCGCCAGGACTGGGACGCCGTGCGACGCAGCGTCGAGGCCGGCGCCGACGTCAACGCACCCTTTGTACGTACATGAGCATGCGCAAGAGGACGCGGTGGCGGCTCATGCGTGGCTTGTGCTCCTAGTTTGGCAAGACGGCGCTGCAGTGGGCTGCGTACCATGGGGACAACACGACGCTTGCCGCGCTCGCCGGCGCCCCCGCGATTGAGATCGACGCGCGCGACCTCGAGGTACACATGCGCCGCTGCGTTGCAAGCGATGTAAATGCGATGAGGGATAGAATGCATGCACGGCGCTGCACTGGGCTGTGCTCAAGTCCAACCTCGAAGCCGTCCATGTGCTCCTCGCCGCCCATGCCAACGCGCACGCCGTGACGCAGGTGCGTGGCCTTAGCGTATAGCGATTGTGCACAGTGACGCATGGTACGTAGGACGGACAAACGCCACTGCAGCTCGCGATTGCAACCAACGCGCACGCCATCGCCGACCGGCTCCAAGACGCCATGAACATGCCACCGGTACTACCTCCTCTCGTGGTCCTGGATACAGCAACCGTGGATGGTAGGTCAAGGAGGAACTTGATGGAAAAGGCGGCGCGCGGCTCAGCTTTATCCGCACGGGCGACGTCGCCCGCGTCCACGCATGGCTCGCGCAGGCTGCCGACACTGTCATCGAAAGCCGCGATGACGTACACACAGCGCATACGACTATGTTCTTAGCGCAACGCGTAGAGCGACAAGACACCGCTGATGCTCGCGGCCGCCGGCGGGCACCACACGATCGTCGAACTCCTTTTGGAACGGGGCCCAGACGTCGACGCCACCGACGCGGTAGGTGCATGCAAACTGGCGTCGCTGTGGTCACATGGCAATGACGCTTAGATGGGCAGGACCGCCCTCATGTATGCTGCGCTGAGCGGCCACCCCATCATCCTGGACATGCTCCTGGGCCACTTTGCCGATATGGATGTGGTTGACAATGTACACTCTACGATCCATCTCGGTTCAATGAGGACATGCATGGGCTGACTGTAGGACGGCGCCTCGGTGCAGCTGCTCTTGCATGCGCAGCTCTCGGACAAGAGCCACTCGGCGTCGGAGCTCGCACGCTTCCAACGCTGCCTTGCGACGCTGCAAAAAGAGGCCCAGTACCGGGAGACGTCGACCGCCTACCGCATGAAGGTCCGCGCGTCGATTCTCAAACGCATGGAGCAAGGGTTGTGTTTGCCGAATCTTTGTTGGCTGCTGCTCATGCGCCAAGGTAGGTTTGATGCAACTGTCTTCAAGATGGCCGTGCACTGCGACCCGTCGCTCGGTCGGTGGTGCCTCAACCACGCCCTCATTGTGGACCGCCACGCCTTGAGCTTTCACGAGGTCTCCGTGTATACATTGTCATATTGTACGCAACGTTTTGCACTAGCTCGAAAAAATCTATGGTACCCGGGGGGTCAAGAAAAGCCCGCTGTACACGCTGCTACACTTGCCGAGCGACGAAGCGTACGAAGCACAACGCATTTGCTTGGATCACCTCGTCATGCGGCGCGTGCTCGACCTCAAGTGGGAGGTACGACAACTCGACTGTGATCGTGTTGATGCTCGACGCAACGACGTTATGTAACTAGTTGTTTGGCCAACGAATGTTCATCGAACGTGTCCTCATGTACGGGCTCTTTGTGACGACCATGACCATCTCTGCCTCTCTCGGTATGTTGTTTCATCCAAGCATTTCTCTTTGATGGCGATCAGCTACTAATACTGTACGGGCAACTAGACGACTCGAACCGAAAGCAGCCCGACGTGATCCTGTCATTCTCCGCCGTCAATTGGGCTGTCGTCGTGCTCTTCCTTGTGTGCGGTTGGCTCGGCGCCCAGGCCCTCCGCCCGTCGATGCTCTGGCGCCTCGCCCGGTCCATCAACTCGTGCTCGGTAGTGCCTTATCTCCTTGGCTTAGGTACTTTGTCGACGGTCGCTGCACAGCGTACGACGGCCTTGTGCAAGTGACTGCGTCCGACAAGCGCAAAGCGAAGTGGTCGGCCGCGTGTCTATATGGTTGGGATCGAATGGCATCTTGCTCGTAGGCTCATTCTTGCCTTGACGGTCAGTATCGCTATAGCTGGCTGTGTGCCGGCGTGCTGGCTCCTCCTCAGCATCAACCTCGACGACTGGTACAGTACATGGTGCTCAAGGACAATGTTGACATTGTCGTGTGCATGCTTAGGTTCTTGCCGTTCAAGATCGTCAACCTCGCGCTCCTCTTTTGCACGGCCTTGTACTTTCTCAGCACCGAGCTCCGCGAGCTGCGCGGCGACACGGCCGCCCTGCGTACGCCATGCTTGAAGGATAGAAGGATGGAGAAGCTGTCTTTTGTAGTCGACCCAACGGACAAGAGCAAGCGCGTGCGCTGGTCGTCGTCGACGTACCTCACGTCGTTCGTCAACTGGTACCGCCTTTTGGTCTACTTGATCATCGCGATTGGCTACGTGCCGTGGGAAATTGGCGCCTACGGTGTCGTGGTGCCGACGTTTTGGCACATTTGCCTCGGCACGTTCTTATCGCTCTCGCTTTGGGTGCTCTCGCTCGAGGTATCCACCTATCCACTCAACTATCCAATCGAGATATACGATCGAGATATCCATGAGATTTGCGCGTAGTTTTTGCAAGTGCATCCCACGACGGGCTACCTCTTGCCCATGATCCAAGGTCTCCTCGTCGACGTTGGCAACTTTATCTTGCTCTACGGCGTCTTGCAGTGGGGGCTTTCATGTGCCTACCTCCACATAGTGCAGCACGACGCAGGTAATGTTGCTTTTTTTGTTGTATTTTGTATGAAAATATGGACAATATTGTCTTTATAGACGCCACGGGGTTTGGCATTTGGTTTCGCGCGTTTACGTTTGCGTACTTTGCGCTCTTTGGGGAATTTCGCCTTGATGAAAACTTCAAGTCGGACGACAGCGTGCTCTTGACGTACTTCCGCATCCTCGCGCAGGTCCAAGCGGCGATCGCGTCCGTCTTGCTCATGAACATGCTCATCGCGATGATGAACAAGCGCGTATCGCTCGATTCGCATCCTTCCTGCCTTCGTAATGCGTCATGTAGGTGCTGGAAGGGCTCGAGAAGGCCAAGATCCAAGCGCTTGCCAGCTACGCCAAGTGCATCCTTCGGTACTTTGTTCTACTAGTCGATACGTCGAGAAGGATATACTAACCATGGTGACATCTGTAGGCTGGAAATGGCCATGTCGCCGTCGACGCAAGCCAAGGTCATGCACCTCGCCGACGTCGACGGGCACGAGTGCTTGAACCCTCTCTTCTTTACGCCGCTGGCCCGAACCGAGGTCCGCACTTATATACGATGACGTGCGGACCTCATGACGGTGGCGTACTAGGTGGCGCTGAGTCCCGACGATTTGGTGACGATCGACACGCTCAAGACGCACCAGCTGTCGTGGCGGCGGGTCCTCGAGAGTCTCCAGTCGCTGCTGCTCGAGCAGCTCGAGCCAACACATCTCTTTGGTAGGAGAAATGATCATCGGTGAGGTATACTATGACGCGGTGTAGAGACGTGCGAGCAGCTACTGACGACGCAGTTTAGCCTTTTTATGCACAAGCCGCATGTGAATCTGCTCAGCGCGCCGAGCCTCTTGGCGCAGCTGGTCACGTCGCTCGCGACGATCCTCTCGACCGTCGACGGGTTGCGTCCACACCAGGTGGCACACCTCGAGCAGCACGTCTGGCCCGCGTTTCATGCTGTAAACCTGCGACGGCTATGAGCGCGACTGACGACTTGCGTTCTAGAAGGGAGCGCAGCTGGCGGCGACGGCCCGCGACGCCTTGAACTACGAGGCGGCGACTGGCCACACGGCCGTGGAGCGGCAGCTGCGCGCGATGGACGAGCGCCATCAGCGGCAGCTCGAGGCGCAGCAAGCTGTCTTTGCGGAACAGCTCGAGACGCAGCGGCTGGCGACCGACGCACAGCTGATGGCGATGGAGAGACGGTAAGAAGACGCGGGGCATTCCCTCAGTCCGCTCATCCATGCGCTTTGATCGTATCTCTGCACCCATACTAGGCTGGCGACGCTCATCCAGAGTTTGCGTCCGTCCGGCGGCGCGCCATGACTTGCCCCGGCCTTTCTGCGAGCGGCGATGAAACACTATTTCATGATAGCAATACACATGATATCGTGTGCGGTCCAACCGATCGATGTAGTGTGAGAGAACGTGAAATGGTGTACGCCGGAATCTCCTGTGGAAGCGTATTAAAAAGTAATAGCATTTTATTCGTGTCTACTGTTGACCTAATGTTTGTATGTAATAAATTGATACAGCAGAAATACAATAAACGAATTGAAAGCCGGCCAGCGCGATCTATCGAAGTGGCAGTTGTGTGGCAACCATGGACATCCAGCACGATGGCCATGGCGACGACAGCGACCCGATGGAGGTCATGGTCGTCGCGCTAAGCAAGGATACGACCGAGATGTACACGCGCTACCGACTGCAGGAGACGCTGGCCTTGATGGGCTGCCGGACCAAGGACGCGGTCGACGTGACCGGCAGCATCTTTCAGGCGTACCACGCCTTTGGCGTCGGCGCCACGAGCCACTGGCCGTTCGAGAGCCTCCAGCACGAGGTCTATGCGCAGCTTGCCAAGCTCGACTACACCAAGACGTCGCAGCTCCTCGACTTTGACATTGCCAAGGAGATTACGCAGCGCAACAAGTCGTTTGTCGTGCTCCTCGGTGGCACGTCGGGCACGGGCAAGTCGACGCTCGCGTCGCTGCTCGCGTCGCGCCTGCGCCTCACCACGGTATACACTAGCCGTGCAAGAACGATGCCATAGTTCACTTGTAGGTCTTGCCAACCGACTCGGTCCGGCACATCTCGCGGGCCTTCTTGACCAAAGAGTCGCACCCGTGCGCCTTCATGTCGACGTACCAAGCCGGCGAAGCGCTCACGCCCGATCAAGTCGACGAGCTGAAGAAGGTTGGGTCATGCATCCTACGTCCTGCATCGTGACGTCGACGCGTAGATTGCAGCAGGCGACGTCAACACCATCATGTCGGAGAACCGTCTCCAGAAGCGCAAGGTGCTCAAAGGCTACAAGCTCCAGGCCGATGCCGTCCTCGAGAAGCTCGACCTCGTCCTCACGATGTTTGAGAAGCGCAAGCAAAGCCTCGTCGTCGAAGGTCCCGTCCATTTTGCAATATGCGCACTTGATACTGACTTGATACTAATTGGCATAGGCGTGCACCTCAACACGGAGCAAATGGTCGAGCTTGTCCGACGCCACCCCAACTGCGTGCCGTTTGTGATTTACATCTCGAACGAGATGAAGCACCGCGAGCGGTAACCTGACCCTTATCGCGCATAGCCTCATAGCTGATGGCGTAGCTTTGCGGTGCGGGCGCGACACATGACGATCGATCCGCAAGAGAACAAGTACATCAAGTACTTTGACAACATTCGCATCATCCAGCGCCACCTGTGCAAGAACGCGGATACGTACTTGATCCCGAAGATTGACAACACCAACGTGGACCGGTCGCTCGTGACGATCCAGTCGACGCTCGTCCGCGTCTTGCGCAAAATGTTGCGCGGTAGGCATTCTGGCTTTTGCAACCTATCAATGTATCAATATGCCTCAAATGTCGACGTAGGCGACAGCATGGTCGATGAAAAAACCGGCAAGTTTGTGCTGCTCTCGCGCGAACACGAGAGTGCGATCAAGAAGGCTTGGTCGAGCAAAGGCGTCCGCAAGGCCATGCGGCCGCTGACCAACCAAAAGGTCTCGAAGCGGCTCTTGCTGCGCCGTCTATTGGCCGAGCAGCAGTCGAACCACCACGTCGGGCCCGACAGCTCGTCGAGCGACGAAGAGGGCGGCGACCATCGTCCCAGTCGCCACGACGACGACGACGAGGAGCAAACGACCGTGGTCGGCAGTCTCTTGAGCTTTCGCGACAGCGCCAAGGTCCGCTCCGACGGCGACGAAGTACGTGCTCTGCATGCGTCCACGGTGGATGACCCGATGCTGACTAGGACGACAAGGCGTTGTCGACTACGATCCAGCAAATGGCGCTCTGGCGCGCGAGCCAGCCCAAACCGCTCGCGTTGGACGGTACCTATTTGGTTTCCAATGTTCAATGTTTCAAGGTATCGATTTGCGACGACCACTAGACACGGCCGTGGGCGACGACGGCGTCGACCCGGAAATGACGTTCGAGAACTTCCACTTGGCCGACATGAAGCAGCGCTGGCGCCACAAGGAGCGCACACGGTCGTGGTTTGGGTCGCCGTCGCAAGCCATCGAGAAGCAACGCTCATTGACGCTCGACAAGGGTACGACGAGGCTCCGTCAGTCGAATGACGACAGTTTTGTAGGTCCGTTGAGTGTTATTCACGCTGGCAATCGCCGTCCGGCGACCAAGGTGCGTCCGTCCTCGGCAAGCCCCAAGAAGCGCGACTCGCTTCGGCACAAGGCCGTGAGCCTTGGCGACAAAGGGCCGCGGCCCATGTCGGCACGCCGCCTCTCGTCGTCCCAAGGTATTCCTTGCTGCTAAAGTATGCGTAGCGATCTGCATTGTAGATTTGGATTTGGATTTCGACTCGGTCTCGGTCTCAGATCTGGACCGGCAAGACTGCATCTCCGAGTCGTCGTCGCACGCTGAAAACTGCACGTCGCCACTGGCGTCGCCCACCCGCAGCATTGGCGAGATGGACTACGCCGTGAGCTCGGGCAGCGACGACGACGACGACGGCTTTGAGTTGCCGCCTGTCCCAGCATTTGCACCGGCGCCGTCCGCTGCGAGTTGCCCGGCGCCGCCCGCTGCAAGCCGCCCGACGCCATAGATGGTATCGACGACGCGTCATCATCGTCGTCAGGACCCAAGGGCCAATACACTCGCATGCATGTTGTGTGTGTGGGGGTTTATCAATGTATCAACCGGCGCTTAGGCATGGTTGCGCGGCGACGGCCTGCGCTAGTACGCCTTGGGGTGGCGTCCCTTGCCTTGCTGGCGCTGCTCCCACCACACTAGTTGCGACATGTCAGTATTCCCTCGGCGCATATTAGCGACGACGCGGTGTCATACCATGGAACGGGGTCGCCCACTGCGACTTTGGGTCAAAGAGAAGCTGGTACTTGAGGTACGAGAAGGCGTAGGCGCCGACGAACGAGACGCCGACGCCGAGGACGTGCCAGGCATCGGTGACAGCGTCGGGGAAGAAGAGAAAGCCGAGGCCAGTCGACGCGAGGTCCTTGACGTTGCCCGTCACGGACGTCGCGAGCGCCGACGTTTTGGTCTATGCGGTCAGAGTGAGGAGACCTGGCATTGTACACATTTGTCGTTGGTACCGTGCAGAGCTGGATGGCCACTTGGTACACGAGGCAGACGCTGCTCATGACAAGAAATAGACCTGCAAACGTCAGTGGACGTGCCAGCTCGAGTGCGAATGCGTGGACAGTCGAATATTCATAGTAGATGGCAGGCGGCGTCAAGAGGACGGCGCCGACGAGGCTGTTGGTAAAGACCACGAGCAATGGCGGCAGCGTCGACTGCTTGGAGAGCACGAGCGACCCGGCGGTCATGCAGTTTTGGGCAAACACGAGGATATAGCCGAGCAGATCATAGGACGCGTCGTGGTAGCCTGCGAGAAGACTGCCGATGGCCGTGACTAGGCATTTCGATGAGCGTTGACATGGCTATTTCGTAGTACCAAATAGCGCCGCCTTCATCGCATCCGGGATCACCTAGAGGAAGAGCAGGATGAGCGTTGGGTCGCTGCATCTCTGAGGCGCACCTTTTTGAGCACGACAATCTCCATGAAGAGGACCTTGAGCGTCGTGAGGCGGCGCAGCACGAGGTACCTATGAAGATGCAAGCGACGGGTTGGCAGGCAGGCCGAGGCAGTACATGGGCATGTTGACGAGGCGCATGCACACAAACGCCGTCGTCGTGTTGATGGACTGTAACGTCGCTAGCGGTGCGACCTCGTAAAGCCACACACGCCACGTGAGCGCGGCGACGTCCAGTGGCAGGACGCGGACCGCGTGCAATACGAGCAGCACGACGACGGTAAAGACGTGCTGCAGCGCAGCGAGCGAGAGGACCGCGCGCCAGCCGTACGAGGTCAGTATCGTCTTGGTGAGCATGTTCATGCTCATCGAGCACACGAGGTACAGGGCGCAGGGCCACAGCGCTGCCACGAGCCGGCGGACGCGGTGCATCAAAGATTCGCCGCGTTTGATTGGCGCATTGTCGCAGCCATATCTTACGCGACCTTTCATATTCCATATTCCATATTGCATACTGAATATTATCGATGAGGCTCGATACACGATATCCGGATATGCAATATCAATATATTTGTGGTCATTTCCAGCAAGCCGACAAGGACGACAAGGACGAGACGACGATGGACCTACTGGACGAACTCGATGCGCTGCTCGCGGAAGAGCGATCGACGCAGCATGAGACGCGCCCGTGGGCGCAATGCCTAAGCGGCCATGCACCGCTGGCCCCGCTCCTACATCCCGCAGGCACGGCGGCGTCGCATCCGGTGCTGCTGCCGTTCCCGCTCGTGGCATCGCTGTCGGTACGTGCCATCTCCATGATGACTTCAACCAACGGTGCGATATGGACCAGACGACGGATGACGACGAGGCGCCGTTGGATCCGCTGGCGAGCGCACTGGCGAGCGAGCAAGCTCCTCTCGTGTGGCAGGCCAACCCGAGCCGCTTGTTGGTCGAAGTCCCGCTCTCGCTGCACCGCGCCGACATCACGCCCGTCACGTCGCGCATGGTACGCGTCCTTCTTCGTTCATTCCAAGTGGAGAACCTTGGATCCATGCAGGTGCTCGAGCCGACGAACCTCACGTACGCCTTTGGCCGTGTCGTGCACGACGAACGGTAAGCACATGCGATATCCGTAGTCTCATATCAACGAATAGCTCGATGGCCGAGACGTCCAACTCGATGCTGCGCAAGCCGACGCACTTGCAAGAGTACGCGCGCGGCAAGATCGGCAACGTCCCTTTCGCGCCGGGCGGCGAGTCGCTCATGAAATCGACGACGACGCCGACGTCGGCGGACGCAGCGGTCGCCGACGAGGCCTCGCTGCTCAAGCACGCAATCGCCAACGAGATGCAGGACCTCGCACAGCGTGCACTGGCGGCGGGCAACAGCACCAACGCCACCTCGGTACGTCAATCTATCGATATATATTGGATGTCTTATCGGTGGGCGTAGGCCGACTGGAGCAGCCTGCTTGTCGACGCACCGGGGCTCTCGCACGGCTTGACGCACGAGGACGTTGCGCGTCTGACGCGTGGCGCGTCGCCCCACGAGGCGGTGCGTCCTACGGACCACGATGTACCACTCGCTCAAAGGCTGTGTCTAGGCGGCGCACAAAGCACCGGCGCCTGTGACCGTGGGCGTCAACCCGAGTACCCTTTTGCAGCCCTACTACACCGTCATCTCGGACGAAGCGTCGATGCAGTCGCTGCAACGCTCGATTGCCGACGAAAAGGCCGTCTTGGGTAACCATATGCGACTGCTGCGCTCGTCCCCAACTCTAAACCACGTTCGTATGTAGCCATGACGTCCAACACGCTCTCGATCCAGAGTCTACTGACAGACAATGACGACGACGACATGGACGTCCTCGACGCCGTGGACCCTGCCGACGTCGCGCCCGAGACGCCGGAACCAGCGCCGACGCCGTCCTTGGTGCGTCATATTTGTGCCTTGTTGTGTAGTGTAGTGACAACCTACGGTGTGGTGTAGGCCTTTGCCGCGGCCAGTGCGAGTGACATGACAGTCGAAGACGCTGACGTCGATGTGACGCTGGACGCCGTCATGACCTTTATGGACAATATGGTGACGCCAACGCCGACGCCGGTCCTCGAGTGGGCAAGCGCCGAGCCCATTGACGTCTCCAACTTTGGCGCCAAGGTGCCGGACATGGCTATGTCGTTTCCGTTCGAGCTCGACTCGTTTCAGAAGCAAGCGGTCGTGCATTTGGAGAACCACGACTGCGTGTTCATCGCGGCGCACACGTCGGCAGGCAAAACGGTACGACGACGCTTGCAATAGTTCAAGACGGCAATCCGAGTTTATATATATTAGGTGGTCGCCGAATATGCGATCGCCATGTCGCAAAAGCACATGACGCGCACGATCTACACGTCGCCGATCAAGGCGCTTTCGAACCAAAAGTACCGTGATTTCCGGACAAAATTCGGTGTCGACAATGTCGGGTTGATCACGGGCGACGTCTCGATCAACCCGCAAGCGAGCTGCCTCGTCATGACGACGGAGATTCTGCGGTATGTGGTGGTCGGTCAAAAGTATCAAGTTGATACTTGGATATAGATCCATGCTGTACCGTGGTGCCGATGTGATTCGCGACATTGAGTGGGTCATTTTCGATGAAATTCACTACCTCAACGACTCGGAGCGCGGTGTGGTGTGGGAAGAGGTATCCATCTATCCATCTATCCAACTTATTACAAAAGTATCCATTCAACTCGTTTACAAAATGGCATAATAGGTCATCATCATGTTGCCCGAGCACGTCTCGATGGTCTTCTTGTCGGCGACGACGCCCAACACGTTTGAGTTTTCCGACTGGATTGGCCGTACCAAGCAGAAGAAGATCCACGTCATCTCGACGTACAAGCGCCCGATCCCGCTCTCGCACCACCTCTATGGTATCGATATGGATGTCATCGTATGGACACAAATCGTATTGCGTAGCGGCCGGTGAGGTACTCACCGTGATGGACCCGCAAGGCCAGTTTCTCTCGACCAACTACTCGGCCGCAGTGCAGCGTCTCAAGCCAAAGGACTCCAAGACAGGCCCAGGCCGCGGCAGTGGCGGGCGTGGCGGCGGCGGCGGACGTGGCGGCGGTGACAAGGCCGACTGGACCAAGCTCATCCGCATCCTTCAAGAGAAGCAGTTGCTGCCCGTCGTGGTGTTTGCGTTCAGCAAGCGCCTCTGCGAAGAGTCGGCGCACCGTCTCTCGGGCGTACGACTCGTCGATCGTCCGACATGGCGCTGAGAACGTGGCACGTAGATGGACTTGAGCTCGGCGTCCGAGCGCTCTGAGATCCATCTCTTTTGCAATGCCAGCATTAGCCGTCTCCAGGTAGAGAGCAAGATTGACCCTGCCGTGCGAAATCTCAATCTGAATCTCAATCTAGGGCTTGGACCAGCACTTGCCGCAAGTGCTCCAAGTGCGCGAAATGCTCTTGCGTGGCATTGGCGTGCACCACGGTGGTCTGCTTCCGATCCTCAAGGAGATGGTATGTTCCCTTTTGGCGTCCGTATCCATTGGATTGATGATACACTGTCTGGGTAGGTTGAAATTCTGTTTGCCCGAGGCTTGGTCAAGGTGCTCTTTTCGACCGAGACGTTTGCCATGGGCGTCAATATGCCCGCGCGCACGGTAAGCAGCTGCGTGGAAATTGAATCTTGATAGATTGATACATTTCGACTAGGTTGTGTTCAACGGCACGCGCAAGCACGATGGCAAGGCGTTCCGCGACTTGCTCCCGGGCGAGTACACGCAGATGGCGGGTCGTGCGGGTCGTCGTGGCCTCGACACGGTCGGCACCGTCATCATTGCGTGCTGGGGGTAGGTGTTTCAAAATGGTTTAGTCTTTGTACTAAATGGGGTAGGGACGCGCCGGACGCCACGTCGCTGCGCACGATGCTCATGGGCACGCCAACGAAGCTCGAGAGTCAATTCCGGCTCACGTACAACATGATCCTCAACCTCCTCCGCGTCGAAGACATGACGGTCGAGGACATGATCAAGCGGTCGTTCTCCGAGTTCCGCACGCAAAAGGCGCTCGCGGCCAAGAACATTCCGTCGGCCATTCAAAAAGCCAAAAAGGTACTTGAGACCCTACCCCTCTTGTTGCTATGATTCTATTGCATGTGACTAGGCGCTGCACACGCTCGAGGCGGACCTCAACGCCACCCACGGCGGCCACCTCGACTTGGCCGAAGTCGAGCGCTTCTTCCTCCTCCAGCAGTCGACCAAGTACAAGGAACAAGCGCTCGTGCATGCGATTTTGAACTCGCGGTATGCGGCGACCGCGCTCTGCGTTGGCCGCGTCGTCGTGCTCTCGACGGCCGGCCTGCCCGACCAGCTTGCTATCCTCTTGCAAGGTAGACGTCCATGTCTTGAATGACAAGGTGTACATCCAACGATAGTCGACAAGGCGGCGACGCGCACCGTGACGGTCCTCGCGCTGTGCCATGCGTCGTTCACGCCGCCGGTGATCGCGGCCAAGCCGAGCGCGATGGATTTCTTCAAGCCCAAGGCGCAAGCGAGTACGTCGAATGGCCTCGCGCCGGGGGCCAAGGGGTCGCTCTTGGGGAAGCACTACGTCGTGCTCGACGTGCCGGAAACGTGCCTCAACAAGCTTACCAAGGTGTGCCATCTTGATAGATTGTTGATACAATCTACGGTTTGTAGCACAAGTCCAGTCCGAACGTCCGGAGCCTCCTCGAGGTGAACGACCCGAGCGTGCTCTCGCGCGCCGTCGAGCTTCTCGTGGACCTTGAGACGTCGCTGCCGCTCTTTTTGAGTCCGCAAAACGACCTCAAGATGATGGAGCTCGAGTCGGCCGATTTGTACAGCCAGGTGCAGCACCAGTACAGCCTCATGGAAGCTAGCCCGTGCTTTGCGTCGCCCTTCCTCATGCCTGTGCTCGCCCAGTACGCCAAGGTACAACTTTGTCGTTCAAGAGTATCAAGTTATCAATGTGATAGATTGACCGACTGCGCCACTACATGGCGACGATGACGGCAGCGCTCTCGAACCACTCGCTGTCGCTTTTCCCCGACTTTCAGCAGCGGCTCCGCGTGCTCACGCGTCTCGGGTACATTGCGTCGGACAACACGGTGCAGGTAAATCGATGGGATTGCTTTACGCTGGTTTAGCACAAAGGACTAGACAGTAAAGATGCTGTGTGTAGGTCAAGGGCCGCGTCGCGTGCGAGGTCAACACGTGCGAAGAACTGGTGCTCACAGAGATCATTTTTGAAAACGTCCTCGCCGAACTCGAACCGGAGGAAATTGTCGCAGTGCTCTCGGCGCTCATTTTCCAGGAAAAGACGCAGAACCAACCGACGCTGACCCCGCGCTTGCTGCATGCGCAGAGCACCGTAGGACGACGAAGCATGATACCGAGAGTGCTAGGATGGCTGCGTAGGTCCACGCCATTGCTACCTCGCTTGGTGTGATCCAGCTCGAGTGCCACCTCGGTACGACCGAGAGTTGAAAGAACCACCATTGATTGATACCTTGATTGTTTTCATAGAGATCGACCCGACGGAATTTGCCAAGTCGACGCTCAACTTTGGCTTGATGGAAGTCGTGTACGAGTGGAGCCGCGGTACAAAGAGAACACCTGGATGCGACTCGACTCATGACTCGACTAGGCATGCCGTTCAAGTCGATTTGCGAGCTCACGGACGTGCCCGAGGGCTCGATCGTGCGCTGCATCACGCGTCTCGACGAAGTCTGCCGAGAAGTGCGCAACGCTGCGCGGGTAGGGTTTTGTTTTTTGTTTTTTGTTTTTTGTTTTTTGTGGATTTTTGTAGATTTTGTGGATTTTGTGTATCTTTTTTCTATATTTTCTCTGTGTATTGCACTTTATCTTGTGGACAAGAGGACCATGTTGCGATGCTTTCTTTGCTTAGGTGATTGGCGACCCGCGCTTGTACCGCAAGATGGAGATTGCGTCCGAGTCGATCAAGCGCGACGTGGTGTTTGCCGGCAGCTTGTACCTGTCCTAGTCGGATTGTATCGAGATATCAAGTGGGAAACTCTCTCAAATGACAACAGTACGCGATTGCACCACGGTTAAATAGTTTAGGGACACGGAGGAGGAGGAGACTAGACGTGTCGTGGCCCGGTTTTTGTCTTGAGCACGTAGTCAAAGCTGTCGCTGCTGCCGCCACGCGTCGACTGCATGATGATGATCGTGTCGTCGCTTGCAACCGACGACGCCATGCCGAGACTCGGCTCTTCGACGATGCTGCCTACGCAGCGTTAGCACATGAGTGTCGAGATTTGAAGGAGCCTACTGTTGGTGTAGTGGTGCTGCGACGCCATCGAACTGGCCGTCGACGAGGTCTTGAGCAACACCTGGCTACTTGTCGTTGTCGTACCTGGCGGCGGCTTGCGACTGGCCATGGAGGCGATCGGTCGGGGCGGTTTGCCGGCGCCCATAATGACAAAGTCGTCCGACTCGGAGCTGCCGACAACAACGTGCTCGATCGCCGTCGGGTTGTTCGTATTGGTGCTCATCGTCGTGAGGTTGAGGTTGGCGTTGTTCGCGTGCAGATGGGCAACAAGTGCTTCGTGGAGGCCCGACCCGTTCTGCTGGCTGGCTTGCAGCACGGCCTCGTCCATGAGGTTCTGCATCGCGTGGCGCTTCTGCTCAAGCCGATACCGGCGTAGCGCCATGAAGCCGAGGAGCCCAAGCAAGACGGAGCCGAGGAGCGCGAGGCAGATGATGAGCAGCGATGAGCCCGAGGACTCGGCGAGGACGCGCCGCGTAGACATGCTGCTGGTGGAAGCGGAAGCTGTATATGTCGACGCTGCCCGCGCACAGAGCCAGTCGGTCGGTTGCCTGTTTTGCCGTTTGGCTCAGCAATTGCCGTAGGTAGTACCTTTTTGTCCGGATACGTGAAGTCATGGCTAATCGCACGCGACTTTGGCGATGCTGTTCGCAGGTGTGGCCGCATGATGCAGGCCTTTGCTCTACCCGCATCGGCGTTGGCATTGCCTCATAATGTAGATACTGAATCGTGTCATAGAAGTGGGCGGGACCGCGGCCAAATGGCGATAAAAGTTGACTGGGTGGTTTAAAATGGAGTGATTTTAGCCAACGCCATGGCAGGTGACACACGCATATCAGCCTGCGCGAGACTTGCATGCAAGTCGTCTAATCCAGTGGCGCTTCTGCTCTGGAGATTGGTATGCGTAGGACTACGTCGTCATCGACACCTCAATGCGCATTACGGTGCTTGTCAATGGCGCGCTTGTATCGATCCTCGCTGCTGGCAACAGCACGTCCACGGGTACATGCGGGCTGGGTGGACACCTCCCTGCTACGACGCAACCACGAGGCGAGCAGGCATGGCGGCAGTGTCCAGCTCCGCAATCCGTCAAGAAGCGAATACACAATCAAAGATACAGCGCGTCAATGTACTAGGTTTGCTTAAGCTTGGGTTCATATATATGGTGAGACGAGGTTTCGAAAGAAATTCAGCGCCTTGTTACACTTCGGGATGCAGGTGCTGCACGTGGCTCACGAGCACCGCAGGGTCGGGCGTGACGAACGGACAGAACGGACACCGCTCCGGTTGGACATGGACAGGCGCCGCGACCACCGCCGGGTACCTCGCCATTTGGCGGGGCGTCACTGTCTGCACAAAGCCCGAGGCCGGCGCCTTGCGGCGGCGCAACAGAGCTCCGAGAAGACCGACAATCACGACGCCCACTACTGCCACCGCAATCGTCATCCACGTCTTCCACTCGAAGCCCGACGACGACGACGACGACGATGACGGTTGATTGTCACCGTTGGGTGACGTGGCGCCCGACGTGGGCGCCGTGCCACTGGGCGTGCTGGACGCAACGGCCGACGATGACGCGACGAGCGAGTACGCCTGCGTGTTGGTCACGAGCACCGACGTGCCAGCGATGCGCGCCTCGACAACGATGCCGCCCGAGGTGCTCGACGATGCCACTTTGGCCAATGCCGCGTATGACACATCCACCTACGTCATCGACATCTACTAAGTATCAATCTATCAACCCAATTCAACCATACCACTTCGACGTTGTTGACAGTGTCGGGACCGTTGGGCGACGCAATCGGGTAAAAGATGGTGGTGCCAAGGACCACCGAGAGGTCGAGGTTGTTTTGGAGCTGCGTCGTGGCGGCCATAGAGCCCGGCGGGTCGGTCCACACCTACTTGTCCATATTAACACGCAATTGTATAGAAGCGTGGACGTCCTACCAGTGTGACACGGAGCGACTGCCCTGGCAGCACGGTAAAGCTGTACGTGTGCAGCCCGCCGTGGCGCAGAGTGGGCGCGCTCGTGGTTGAATTTGGCAGGAAAAACACCTTGGGGACCGCCGATGGACCAAAGGACGCAATGTTGGAGAGCTGCGGCAGCCCGTAGCCTTGGTTAAAGTCGGGGTACGACAGCGACGTCGCCGTCTGCTGCACAAACGAGCACGTCACGAGGCCCCGGAGCGGACCGATGCGATTCTTCAAGCCCGTTGCGCTATGGATCATGAGCGCCTTGATGAGCGAAGCGGGAATCGTCTTGAGGCCGTTCGAGACGTCGCGGGTCCCCGCTTTCCACCAGCCGTCGCGGAGCCACTCGTAGATAAGAACAGCGACACCGGCAGCGACGGGCGTTGCCTACAACCTCGCGATATGAGACACGATGCCAATGCGACGAATGGTCGGACCTGGGACGTGCCTTGGAGAGGGCAAACCTGCGTTGTCTTGGTCGTCAAGCCGGCGGCGAGGCTCTGGGACGACGTGATCACTTGGCCTGGCGCCACGAGGTCCGGCTTCATGCGGCCGTCCGACGTGGGACCGATCGACGAAAAAGAGGCGACGCTGTTGGGGTTGAAGATGTTGGGGCAGTTGAGCGTCGAGGCGAGGCTGGCGACCGTGTTCATCGACGCGCCGACACTAGCCCCATCGATATACGTCTATGAACTGCAACTAGGAGGAGGTACCTGAGCACGTTCTTGGCGCCAGCGGGCGAGCTGATTGAGCGCGGGCCTTCGTCGCCCGAGTTGCCGGCCGCAATCACAATCAGCGTCTCGGGGTTCGAGAAGATGTAGTCGTCGAGGTCCCGCGCTTGCTAAGGGTACTATGAGTCGTAGCTACTTGGTGCAGATGGTCGTACTTGGCTGTAGTCGTCGCCGTCGGTGCCCCACGAAAAGGAGAAGATCTTGGCGCCCGCACGCACTTGGTTGCGGAGCAAATCGGAGACATCCGACGGCGTTTGGAGGCTTACGGGGCAGTTGACATTCGGGAGGTTGGCGCATCTCGAGCTCTACATCAACATCGTTACTGCATATTGCGACAGCGGGGTTAGGGTACCTGTGTCCCAATGTCCATAAAGGCCACTTTGGCGTTGAAGGCCACGCCGAGGTTGGGCTGTGCTTTGCTCAACGAGCTCCCGAGAAGGATACCGGAGACATGGGTGCCGTGGCCACACGTGATGTTCTCCGATTGGTCAAACTGGTCGCCAAACGCTTCGTAGGACACGACCTAGTTGATACATCGATGCATTAGCGACAACCGAAAGGTTCAGAGACACAAACCTTGCGGTTGGTCGACACGATGCGACCAAACGGCCTTGCGCCAGGTTGGTCAAACTGGTCGTGGTCCATGTAGAGTCCCGTATCGGTGATGCCGACGGTGATATCGTTGCCCGAACTATCCGATAGTTGGAGTCCTTGGATAGATTGATTCGATATCGATACATATACATACATGCCGTAGTTCTGGGCCTCGGTGACGCCAACGACAATGTCGGCTTGGGAGTCGAGACGTCGCAAGAGGGGCGGCATTGGCTCGGAGAAATGGCGCGTCGATGCAAACGCAGTGACAAAGACGACTGCGTCTTGGCGACTGAGGTACGTCACCACGGTCGACCAGACCTTGAAGTTGCTCAGCGACGGCACGTAGAGACTCTTGGGCGAGTGTTTTGTGAGCAGGTCGTCCGAGATGCCCGTGAGCTGTCGCAGTCCCGCGTTGAGTTCTGTGATTGTCTCGTTGCTCACGGGACCGATGAATCCAATCTCCATCGCTGGCGCTTCCGAGAGGACGCTGCTGACGCTGCGCGCAAACGGCGTCAGCTTCATGAGCGGCGGCAGCGGCAGGATGCGGTGGGTGCAGTTGAGCCGGTTGAGCGCGTCGGCGGTCGACGCATTGGCATGCACCAGCACCAACGTGCTGCCTACACGACCGATATACAGCGACATGAGCACAAAACGAGGCGACAGAGAAAGCTTCGTACCCGAGTCGTTGCCGTTGCTGCGGCTGAGGAGGCGAAGGAACGGGTCCGCGCCGTCGAGCACCGCTTTGATCTGAGGCATGCACGCGACCTCGGTCGCACAGCGCTCGATCTGAACAAGCGTCGGGACGAGACTCGTGGGGTCGGTGCTGGCATTGGTCGGCGCGAGCGACGCCAGGTGGCACGCGCCAAGCACCGGGTTTTCGCCGCTGACCATGGCGTCGACGGCGGTCTGAAAGTCGTCGAGGAACGAGGCGAACGAGAGGCCATCGTCGCCCAGCGTGAGCGCGACGCTGAGGTTGGCGCGCTGGCACGTGATAAAGTCGATGGGCGCGACAGGCCCGCTGCCTTCTTTGAGCAGCCGACTCGTCGTGCTGCAGCGGGACGCGCAGTCGGTGGCCGGCGACAGCGTATACGGGCTGCAGTGGTAGCTGCAGTAGGCCTCGGTCGAGGTGAAGCGCCATGGCGCGGCGGCGGCGCCAGCGAAGGCGAGGGCGAGGACGGGGACGCAGCGCATGGCAACTTGCGCTCTGGCAAGCTGGCCGTGTGACACGGTGGACAGTTGTGAAATTTTCGTCTTTTAATTCGTCACATACAAACAATTCGATATTATTTTACAATCGTAAAAACACGGTAAATTTCCGAAAATGACGGGAGATATACGGTGCAAAGTCGGAAAATTCGTTGTGACCAAGCGTCTCATATTTGGACGCTCCGCGACGTCGCTCGAAGCCCATGGCGTGCTACGCAGAGTCACACGGTGGGAACAATATACTATTTGACATCTATCCAGTGGACACTATTACTATGTGTACTGTACTGGCTCAAAGACATGGGCAACGCTGCCACCGCTACAAGGCCGTTTGTTGAGGGTCCTCGAAGTCGGCTCCAACGGTTCGTATTACCATTCGCAACACTATTGTCATCGCTACGCTCGCAATTATTGGACGCAACAAGGTAAGATACGATTAGATAATAGATAAGATTCGATTAGATAAAGATAAATTCGATAAACGATGCAATCATACGATGACACATCTTGATGGTCGTCGTCGTCTTGTCGACTTCACGCGTCGATGCTGTTGTTGGAGTCCTCGTCGCCAAGGTACCCCTTGTCGATCGAAACGTCGACATTGTTGCCGTCGTCGTCCATCGAGACATCGGCGATGTTGCCGGCGTCCATCGAGACATCGACATTGTTGCCGTCGTCCATCGAGACATCGGCGGCGTCGTCTTTGTCGTCGTTGTTGTCGTTGTTGTCGTTGTCGTCGTCGTCGTCGCTGGCAACGTCGATAACCATGTCGTCGTTGTTGCCAAAGAGGACCTCGCGGTTCTTGAGCTTGGCGTGAAGCATCTTGCGGTACGCTTCCATCGACGTGTCGAGGCACCACACGACGGGGCCTTCGACGAGAGCGTGGCGCTTCAAGCCGCCAAACACCTTCTTCGGGTCCACCTGGAGGACGTAGTCGCGGAAGGCGGCACTGCCCGACTCGGCGTCTTCCCGCGTGGGCCCCGACACGACGGACTTGAACTGATCAACGGCAAACTTGGTCGTCTCGAGCGCGGCCTCAACGACAGCAGCGGCGTCGGGCGACACGAACGAGGTCATGAGCAGCGCGTTGTTCGCTGCGCCGCCCCACTCGAGCCCGCGCTCGGCGAACGCGATCGCACCGCGAATGATGTCGCGCGTGAGCGACTCTGCTTCGATCTTGATCGGCTCGCCATCCAACGCCGGGCGATTCGTCAACTCGTCGATAAAATAGGCGTAGAAAGGGCCCTTGTAGCCTTCCGGCAGCGGCGCCGGCTTCTTGGAGCCCGGAGACAAAATCTTGTCCGTGAGGACGATCGCCCGGGGAACGATGGCGTCTTGCGCCTACGAATCCATGCGCCATGAGCATCATCAACCATAAAAGAGGTTCACGTACCGCTAGCACCGTCGTCGACGTAGCAAAATGCTGGCGCAGCTCTTGCTCCATGAGGCCTTCGATGCCCTGGCCATTCTTGAGCGTCAACTCTTTCAGGCCTTGGAGGCTGGCTTGGATCTCCTTGTGATGGCCATCCATGCGTGCGGCATACCGCGCAACCTTCTCGTCCGTGCCCTTCTGCGCCGCTTGCAAGCTCTGGAGCTGGGCGATGATTTGGGCGTTGATGCCGAATTCGGTCATGACGTCCCGAAATGCGTCCTTCATCGAAGCAGCCAGCTTGACGTCGCGTTCTTGCTGCTCCGTCGCGCTCGCGGCCGCTTGACGAGACGAACGCGACTTGATCTTGACCGGGGGCGAGCATCCCGTCTTCGTGGCATCGAGGCTGCGCTGCGCCGCAGCTGGCTTCTCCCTATGCGACCAATACATGCTTACATTTACGCACGAGTATTCCGACATGAAGACATACGAGGCGCCGCGTCGTGGCGTGGCGGCCTCCGGAGCGCGCGCTGCCGTCGCCTCGCCGCAGATCTTGGCTTGCGTCTCGGCCCTGTCACGCCAAATGAGTTTACCCGGTCAAGCGCCATGCAACGCACTGCGTTTGATTGTCGAGAGCTTTGATGGCTTTGCGAATGTCGACCACGCTACGAGAAGCATGAGCCTGTCGTGGCTCGAGAGTGTCGCTGCTTACTTTTGCTTGGCTCGTGCGTAGTCCACGCCGAAGATGCGAAACATCGCCGCTTCATCTTCGGCCGAGAGCTCGGCGCTTTGGAGCCCAGCCGCGACGGCCGGCGGCGGCGCACTTGTCGGCGCATTGGGATCTGTCGAGTACTTGCTCACCAAGTGTTGTAGCGGGACGATCTTGAAAACGCCCTGCAACTTGCGCAGCACACTGATCTCGGCGGGACCGAAGCGCGGCGGCGGCAGCGCCATCACTCGGGGCAAGTCGGCCATGATACTACTTCAGAAATGCCGAGCGAGCTCGGCGGTCGACGGGCGACCGTTGGCATTGTGCGCGGTCCGGTCATACAAACACCAAGTGCTCGGTCAAGCAAGGTACACAGAACTACGACTCCTTGCGTCGTTTCAGCGTCTCCGCCGATGGCGAACGAGCAACCCGGCTACCTCGACAGTGCTCTTGAAGCTACGGCGCCACTACATTTGTAGCAGTACAAAGCCCATACTAGTTTGCATAGCGCGACGCTTCCCTCATACTACTAGCGGCGCCGCCCGAGCCTTGTCGCCGCAGGAAGCAGCACGAGGGCAACCATGGGGCTGCAAGAACGACCGCAGGTGTTGCACTCGTCTTCTCCTCGCCAAAGCGCGAGACGATGTCATTGGCCGCCGTATGCAGACCACCGTCGTGGGGCGGTGGTGTAACCAGTACTACAGTGCGGGCAACATTTATAGCCCCACCGTGTACGGCATGTTACAGACATTATTATCCGATAAAATTTTGTGAACATGTTGTTCAATATTGTGTGATGTCGCATGTAAAATTTCGAAATCATTACTAATGGTCAAGTGGGTGATGTCCATGATATATCATTTTTGGCCGCGAAGATACATAGCCTCACTTTCTAGTAGTCGATCGCACGGCCCCGTTTCTTGAGAACCTCGACGCAGCGCTTGTTCATGGAGTCACTCAAGGCCTTGAGGTACTTGTTGGTCAGCTTGGACCATGCCTTTTCGATCGCAGTACGCAGGGAAGCGACAGACGGGTAGCATCGTCCGTTCGCGTAGATTTTGCGAACCAGGAAGCCCCAGACGTTCTCGATCGGGTTCAAATCGGGCGAGCGAGCAGGCCAAGTCATTACCTTGACCTTCTCCATGCGCAGGAAGGCCGTGGTGGCCTTCGAGGAGTGGATCGAGGCGTTGTCTTGTTGGAACGTCTGGTGGGAGCGGCAGTAAATTGGCAGCAAGTGCTGCCGCAGCGTCATGCAGTACTTGATCGAGTCCTGCTTGCCGTCTAGGAACGCTAGCACTTTCGTTCCGTCCGCCGCATACGCGCCCCAGACCATGACCGAGCCGCCACCGGACTGGCGCTTCTGAAAGTACTGAGGCTCCTTGCGGAGGTCACGCCAGTAGTACTGGATGCCGTCGGGACCGTCCAAATTGAACTTCTTCTCGTCGCTGAAGATGACCGAGGACCAGTCGAAGCTTGATTCGAGATGCTTTGCGGCAAACATCTCGCGTCGAATCATGTGGTCCTTGGTCATCCATGGCATCTTCTGGCGCATCTCCCAGCGCAAATGCTGGACACTGGAGAGTATCTGCTGGATGCGACGAACTCCCAGCGGCACTTGCTGGTCGAAACGTAGCTGTCGGGCAGTGAAAATGCCCTTGGAAGCCGCCGTGATGAGGCGCCGAAGGTCCCGCGGGCTAAGCTTTGGCTTGCGACCCGGCCGTTTCGCCGTGTTGTAGGCCTTCGGGTTCTTCACAAAGTTGTTGACAACCTTGGGTGAGCGCTTGAGCTTCTTGGCGATCGCTCTGTTGGACAAACCGCACTCTTTGAATGCCAAAATGCGCTCGCGTTCGCTGGGCGTCAAAACCGTCCCTCGTGGCATGGTTACGATTGCTAGAGGAGCGCGGAACGTAAGATATACATCAAAGAAGCATTCAGCGAGGCCATCGTAACCGAGATACTCGCAGCAACGCGTGTACGCGCCCACAGAAGTCCCCGCGGTGAAGTGAGGCTATATAGTTTCGTCGGCGTACCTGTCGATTTTTCACTTTGTTGACGACTTCAAAGTGACGGCAGCTCCGTTTTGCCTCGTTGACCCCACGATTGAATCACCCAATCACAGGCTTCGATTTGACACGTCGTGCGTTAAACGAATCTTATTGGTTCCTGAAATTTTGCCTGAGGCTATAGATGTTGCCCGCACTGTAGTATCAAGCCCGAGGTTGAGCTTGTCTCGGGCAACATTCCATCAACCGCCAGGGCGGGGGCCGACCCGTAGCTGTGCGTGGCTGGCGCTCGAACCCATGCTTGTCCTCTTCCGCAAGTCGTAGCAACTATACTAGTAGACTTCACGACTGTGATGCAGCTGCATGGACTGTGATGTAGCTGCGTATTCTCGCGTCGCCAGTGCATACCACCCATCGCCGTGTGAGAAGCCGGTTGGTCGCATGCACTACACTTTGTTAGTAGACGCTCTAGTCGAAGCTTGATCAACAATTTGGCCAGCGCATATCATCGCTTGTGCAGCGTTTGATGATCCCAGGCGTGATCCAAAGTAAGCACAGCCAAGGGCCATAGCTGCCCCACTACACTAGTATACTTAGACGACAGCCCAATACACTCTGGATACAGCTTTCTTGGTTGATCCCAAGGCTGCTTATCTATCCTATTGCAGAAAATTGTCCTCGCTTTGCACTCCTTTTTCGATCCTCGAGCTATCCCATTGCTATCCCATTGCTATCCTATTGCTATCCTGTTGCCGATTTGGTGCAATAGTGACAAAGAGATGGAAGTATATGTGCGATTTGTCGCATAAGAGGTTGTATAAGAGGACTATGGAGTAAACTATAAACGTACTCCTAGTAGAGCCGTGTTTAAACAAACACGAGGAGCACAAATGTGAGGAGGACGAGGAAGACGATCCACGGCAGCGACGGGTAGGCAAAGTCGTAGAGGTCGTAGAGGTGGCGCAGGTACTGGAAGATGACCTTGCCCGTGAGCTTGCTCTCGCCGTGCACGCGGACGCCAAAGTGGATTGGCACTTCGGCATGGCGCTTCACGCGGCACTTGACAAAGAGCTCGAGCGCAATCTTGAAGCCAATCGGGCTGATCTCGCCGGGGCGCGGGCGACCAAGCACGTCGGCCGGGAGGCCAAAAAAGCCCGTCATCGGGTCCGAGAGCGCGCTCAGCGGGCGCGCCAGCATGCGCGCGCCGCTCGAGGCAAGCTGGCGGTGCAGCGGCCAGTCCTTATCGACCGAGAAGCCGGCGCCGCCGTAGCGCGTGCCAATGACAAACTCGGCGTTGCCAATGGCCGGGTCAATGGCGTCGATGAGCGCCGGGACGTTCTCCGGCGGGTGCTGCAGATCCGCGTCCATGCACAAGAGGAGCTTGCCCTTCGCCTCCTTGAAGCCGCGCAGCACGGCGCTGCTAAGGCCACGCTCGTTCGTGCGCACGATGATGCGGACGTTGACGCCCTTGGCCGCGAGCTTGGTGATGACCTCTTCCGAGCCGTCGGCCGAGTTGTCGTCGACGACAATGATCTCGGTGGTCTTGGCGCGGGCCTCGCCGAGCGCTGCGAAGACGCGCGTCACGAGCTCCTCGAGGTTGGCGCACTCCTTGTACGCGGGGACGACCACGGTCGCTTCGATGCTGCTGGCCATCTTTTTGGTTTGTGGCTACGTGGACAGGTTGGTGGCACCGTATCCGGATGACATCGGGAATAGTGTACGATTGCGTCATCATCGCTCGTGGCGCGCCATGACGAGCCCACAGCCCACAAGCTCGACGACGAGACACTACGTGGACATGGCTTGACACGCCGGTGAGCTATGGTATGGAGCCAACTGCGCGGGCGCTGCGGCTGCACGATGCTACCAGTGCATCATGGCGCTGCAGAGACACGAGCAGAGAGGTGGATGCATGATGGAGTGCCCTTACCAACACCTGACGTCACGGTTCTTGGTGCAGAAGTTACTGTAGCGCTACATGGCTCAGTGCCAAGGTTCATTGACTGCTGCTCTAGGTTGTTTTAGGAGTTCGAGCGCTAAGCTCGTGCCGATACGACGATATTTATGCTAGCTGTGCTTGCACAGACAAATTAGTGCACGTTGGCGATAGCACGCGTTCCTGACGCTAGCTCCGCAGTTCCAATGTAGCTCAATGCACAACATGTCATTCAAAGTGATGGAATGCGTATGCCGCTGATAAACTAGCGCGTCGCTCAGCTTCCTCGCTCGAGCGGGCGTCAGCAGTTGGTGTCGTAGTGAGCGAATCCTGCACACTATTTGCGGTCGAACGCTCGCCATATATTATTTAATACTCAAGGGTATACAAACACCAAGTAAATTGCTCGAACCCATTTGAATGCGATCCCGCGTATCCGGACGAAACCGTTCCATTTCCATCAATTCCTTCTTGCCCCGACGTGGCATGGCCAGCCTGCTCCGCCGCTGGATTCGCGATGCGCTCTGCGCCCACGGCTACGCCTGCGCCGAGCCGCTGATCGAGGACACGGCCCACGGCATGTTCCCTCTCGAGGCCTTTGCCCACGTCGACGACGACAGCGCGTCGCCGCTCGTCTTGCGCGGCCTCTTGCTCGGCGAACGGTATCTTCTTCACGTGCTCTGCGGTGGCGAGACGTGGCGCGTCGACTTTGCGCTGGCGTCGTACATCCCGACACGCTCTGCGTTGTACGCGCAGTACGCCGAGTACGTGCGCTGGCGCGTCGAAAAATCCATCTTGCAGCGCCATGCATCGACCGCCCAAGCGCTGCTGGGCAGCTTGCCCGAGCACCTCATCGATGGCATCGTCGGCTTCTTGGCTGCGCCCGACGCGGCCCGCGCCGCTGCCACGTGTCGCGTACGCCCGTGCACCATGCGTGCATTTCATACTATTTCGTGTCTAGGTCATGCACAAAAGCACGGCCAAGCCGGGTGTTTGGGCGGCGCTTCTCCTACATGGTAGACATTATCTTCCACAATATTCGCAGGATTGTTCTCATGGACGACGCTGACCTAGATTTTCAGGTTTGGCATGAAGGCGACGATGCCAAGGCCGTCTACATTCGACGCTCGAGGTAGATGCATATGGCATCGATCTTTCTCATCCTAATACCCATCGGGTAGAGTGCTCGCCCGCATGCGCTCGATGCATCTCACCGACTTTTTTGGTCGACCGAATGACATTTGGCAGAGCGACGACGCCCGGCCATCGCTGCGGGTGCCTCGGTTCCCATACTACCTCCCGCCGCCCTGCCCCGAAGCACCTGCGCCACTGCGCCATCCCTTTCATTTCATCGACGACGATGACGACGAAGATCGCCATTTGCTGGGACTGCCGCGGCCGTGGGCACCACGTCGGTCGTGGCACGGGGTATAAGTCAGCACGAAAAATGTCATATATACCACATTGTTTGCATACTGAGTCGTATGTGATTGCATATTTTTGAGATGTCTTGGCGTCTTACAAGGCGACGTCGGTCGTCGACGGCGGTGCTTGGAACGCGACGGGCGGCGGTGGCGGCGGCATGGATGCACCGGACGACGGCTTGCCGGGCGACTCGATCTGGATCATCTGCAGCTTGGGAATCACCGCGCTCCACTCGTCTTCGACCTTGCGGTTGTAGGCGATCTGCAGCTGGATGTAGTCGAGCACGATGCGCTTGAAATCACTGAGCTTTTCTTGCTTGAAGCGCTCGACCTAGCACCAAACGGTATAGTTGGCAATTGTAAATGTAGAGACAAGAGGTACCTCGCGCAGAACACGCTCGGTGACAACGTCGTGTTCGAGCTTGGCCGCGTCCACGCGCTGCTTGGCCTAGCACCATGTCGATGGAAATGCAAGTATCAAGAATGTATCAAGTTGATACCTCGGTCACGTCGTTGGCTGCTACGTCGACCTTGTCGCCGCCTTTTGCTTGGGCCTTCTGGAGCGCTGTTTGCTTGGCCTCGAGGTCCAACACCGCGCCGTGGTACTGGCTGCGAACCTCGTTGCGCTTGATAAGCGCGGCCTTGACGGCTTGCACGAGTCGAATGTAGTCGAGGATCGGCTCTTCAAAGAGCAGCACCTCCTTCTCCGCCTAGCACACCAGCTTGAACATGCGAAGATATGACACGAAGATGCGCGTACGTGTTCGGCGGCCAGCACCGAGAGCTTGTCCGAGCACGTGCCAACGTGGCAGAGCGCCGTCTGGAGCGACTCATTCTCTTCGGCTTGGCCCAGAAGCGTTAGCGCTACGCCAAACTCAAAGAGGCCGTCGGCGATCTCGCGGGCGCGCTTCGTAAGGCCGTGCGCGTGCTTGGCGAGGCTCTGGATGATGGGCTCGAGCGCGTCCATGTAGGCGACCATGTCCTCCACTTGGATGTCCGTGGTCGTCTTGAGCTTCTCGACCGCAATGCTCTGTGCACCCAGCGTGCTCGAGATGGTCGCGACGATCGTGTCGTCAAACCACTGGAAGAGCCCGCCGCCGCCCGACGACTTGCCCTTGCTCTTGGCGAGGACGTCGTGCTTGAACGCTGCGAGGCTCTCGTCGGACGCCTCAAGAAAGACCGTGAGGTACTCCGAGTGCTGGATCTCGGGGTGCACGGCGCAGCGCCGCAAGAAGAGGTGCAGCGCCCGGCGACGGGCTTCGATAAACTCGGGCGAGAAGCGGCCGACGAGCAGCTTCTCGGGCAGCGGTGGCACGATCACGCCGGGAAAGAGGCTGCAGAGCGACGCATGCAGCCACACAAAGTCCGAGAAGCGCCGGACGACGCTAAATTGGCCCTTCTGGAACTGCCGCCGGTCGGTCGTCGTCGAGATCTTGTACGAGATGTACGCCTGCATACCTTCGCCCACCTTGACGGGCTCGCCGACCTCGATCGCAATGGACTCGGCCTCGCTACTGCGCCCATGTTGCGAGCGGACGCTCGTCGAGGGGCCATGGCTCGGCGCGTGCTCGGCCGAGAAGTCGACGTTGACCCACTTGCTCGACATGGCCTGGGAATGAGAATGGGTCCTGGCATCCGGATACGGGAAAAAGAAAAAAGATTTTGGCCAATCGGAGACCGGACAAGACACCAGATTAGATTCGAGTTGCTGGCAGCGTCCGAGCGCAGCACGAGCCAAAGGCTGCTAGTGCGTGCCTATAGCAACGCTGCTTTGGCGGCCGGCGCGAGTGCTGGGCGTCGGTACGCGGCAGTGGCGCTGTGGGCCACTAGGCCATGGCCACCGTGCGTGCGGTCACGTCACCGAGCGTGGCCAAGCGGTAGTGTCGGCGACCTTTCCTGTGGCCACGAGCATAGCTGCGCTCCGACCGTACAGCCCACGCAGTACAATCAAGCCGTAGAGGACACATATTGCTTCACCTTATACATATACACCGCCATGGAGCTATCTAGACATTGACGATACCACAGCATGCATGGTCTGGCAGCGCATATCGGAGCTGAAGCACTTGCATGAGAAGCGCATTGGTCTCGGCATTCAGCGCCGTGATGCACGTAATGGCAAAGTCTAGCACCGTGTGGACACACGGGTTGTCGGGCAGAGCGATCGTAAAGGGCGTCCATAGCATGACGGGCGCTTGCGTCCGAAGTGCTTCGAGCGCGACGAGCACGGCGGCAGTGTTCACCGGAAGGAGCGCAATGCAGTAGATAGCAACGTCCAAGACTGCGTCGTGTGGCGCGGGCCCGTCGTCGTTGAAGTCGTCAAACCAAATCCTAGCATCACATGTGAGCGCTCGTGCATATCGGCACATAAAGACAGCTACACGATGAGCTCGTCGATCGCGATTTCTAGCGTGGCAATGGCCTGCATGGTAGAGCTTGAGCTAGAAAGCAAAATGCGTTGTGGTCATGAAAGCTCTAGGAATGAAGCATATATGTGGTGCGGAGGCTACTTGCTCGACCCTCGTGGCGCGCCTTGCTGCAAGCATAATCCCAGGCCACCAACCTACGTGCTCTGATCTCATGCGATCGCACTGATTGGCTCGACCGCGGGCCGGACGATACTCGCGCCACAGTGGTCGGGCAACGTTTCATCAGGCGCCAGGACCACTCTCATATACAGGCGCTTCATCGGCGGCTGGTTCGTGCGGCTCACATACAGGCGCTACCACTCTGCCGGACGTCTCTTGCGGGCTGGCTTGTATGCCCCAGGAGCGCGCACATGATGGACCAAGTTCTTGGGGTCGTCCTTAGATGACCGAAGGCACAGAGTACTATTAGCTATCAAGTTGAAGACGTGTCGAAAGCCTGCAACGACGAGCAAAGGCAACGTCCCTCGTGCCAGATTCAACGACGCAAAGATTACAGTGTACAAACTGCACGGAGCAGTTGCAGGCAACACATGGGAAGTCGTCGTTCGGCAACCCTATGCAAGCGGATGTGGTTGTTGCCATGCTCCGTCATTTACAGCTGCTGTGTACGACGCAGCTTGCAGAGATTGCTGTAATATATCAATCTCTGCCACCCGAACCAGGCGTGCTCTCTATCACCCAGTCAGTAAACAGTCTTCCGCTCGCATTCATCTGGGACGCCCGTGATAGCCATCGTAGCTTGTGCGGGATGCAATAACTAGTACTCTCATGAAGGACATTGGTTTGGTACTTGAACGGCAATCGAATTACTCCCAACGACACATGCCACTCTTGCCCGCAAGAGGAAGATGGCACTGGAGCTCACAGCTGCGCTGGGACTCGTGCGCCAACTTGTTTTCCGGGCCTGTATCCTCCCACGTGCTAAAAGCGTGCGATATGATTGGCCGACAGAAAAAAGTTATCAAGTGCCACGGTTGGAACTGGTAGGAAATACAATTTTGTGCCGATACTCCGAAGTACTTCGTCGCCCACAGACGTGACATAGCTGCTGGACGCGGCCACCTTCCCTTCCTCGCGTTCACATTGGGCAGCTTTAATCGAGCGTTCGCTGCACGGGCCAATGACATTGTTGCTTGGCCTTGAAATCTGAGCGCCCGATGCAGCGGCAAGGCAAGAATGCACTCGAGAGCAATACCAGTATTGAGCATTATTGTTCAGCGTACAGCCCGAGGTATTGCGTCCAGTGGATTTGCCGCTGCGCCTTTTTGACACGGAGTCCCAAATCGCATCGCCATTTTGACTCGCTGCCGCTTTGAGCACTCTCCAAACGGTTGTGTAACTGCGAGACCTTTGGCAGCCGCGATCATGGCGCAGCGACTGCGGCACCTAGTACTCGCCCTTGGCTTCTTCCTCCAGTATTCTGGTATATATACTTCAGAATTCACATTACTAGTTCGCTCACAACTGACTACTAGTCGTAAGCGTCACTGGACAGCCCCAGTACCGCGTGGAAAGCGCGGCCATGCTGCCATCGAGCAGCCTCGTGACCTTTCCGTACCTTCCAGCCGCGCTGCTTCAGGGCGAGACGCTCTCGAATCTCTCGCTACTCGCACACGCTCCGGTGCAGATGGCACTCAACGTCAGCACCAACGTCGACGGCAACGCCACGTTTCGCATGACACCGAGCATCGTCAACTGTTCGACTGTTGCCACTCAGACCTTTGCCCTGCGCGTCGACGCCGTTAGCAATACTACTGGCAACTACACGCTGACGTTCTATGACGTGGCGACGACATCGGTGCTCTACACCACTGTGGTGCTGGTGGTGCCGCCGCCGTTCGTCGCGTCCGTGACGGCACCGACGTGGACGGGCAATGCGATTTGGAACGACTCGTTTGACGCGCAGCCGTGGGGCGCAGTACCCAACACCGCGACGTCGATTTGGGCCAATATCTCGCAAGGTTTTGTGAGCGACACATGCACACCGGTACGACAAGACGACGCATTTGATTTAAGACAACTTGTCTTCATTTTTGCTAGGGCGGGAAAGCACTGTATTTTACGCATCTCTTTGCACGGTATGCTGCCACGTCACCGATCGACGTGCTCGGGTTTGACTTGCAGCTCGCGTTTACGTACGTCTACGGATTTTTGCCCAATCAGACGTACGACAGTGTTGGCAACAACACCTTGTCCTGTGTGCAAACAAGTCCCAACTCGCCTTTCAACGTCGAGTACTTTGCGGCCAACGACACGTCGTGGCATGTGGTTACCGTCGTTCCAGTGCCCCCGACGCCGACGTCGGCGCGGCAGAATCTGCTCTTGTCGCTGCCGCCGACCGCGAGCTCAAACGCATCGTCGTTTCGTTGGATCCAAGCCAATCAAACAAGCGGCCGAGTCGGCTCGATCCGCGGTGCGTGGGCATTTACAGTCCTGTACCGTCGTCTTAGTATCGCTGGGCTGTAGGCACGCGGTACCAGTGGCAGTATCGCAATCTTTTCGATCAGTGGGCGATCGACGATGTGATTTTACGCGGGCGCGTGCGGGCTCCGGTGGCGACAACGCCGGCCCAAGTTGGCGTCGATGCGATATCGGTGCAGCTGCAAGCCAACGCGACGGACAATGTCATTCTTACGACTATCGGTGACGGCTCGCACGCGTTTCCGGTCTGCAACTTTTTGTCGTTGCCGTCGTCGACAACGACCGTCGTTCTGACAACGACCAGTGTCATTCACGCCGTGGCGTGTGTCCGCCCCAACCAGCAGAGCTACGGGTACCGGTCCCCACGGTACGTCGTGCAGGCGCTGCCGCCGACACTTGTGAGTACAAAAGCCACCGATGCGACGGGTTACTACACGGTGCAAGTGACGATGCCCCGACCGAATATGACGCTGCGCTTTACGTTTGGCAATGGATCCGACGTGCCCAGTTGCACCTTCGGGAACGCGATCGAGTTAAAAGACAATGCGACGACGACGTCGATGCTTCTCAAGAGCAACGGTGTCCTGCAAGCGGTCGCATGCATGCGCGGGCTCCTCGGTAGCACAGTTGTCCGACCACCGGCGTTTGTCGTGCAACCGCCGCCACCGACAGTTGCGTGGGTCAACGCTACAAGTATTTCAGCGTCGGCGCTCTTCCCCGTCACGATCCAAACGACAAGCATCGATGCGAGCCTCGTCGTCGTCGTCGCCGACGCCACCGACACGACGGCGCTTCCGTCGTGTCCGTTGATCGTTGCGAGTACGCTAACGTTGTTTGCGGCAGGTGCCGCATCTTATGGGCTGTAGATGCAATCAATGCAACGTCTGTGACGCTGCAGCCCGGCCAGCTCGTGCGCGCCGTGAGCTGCTGCGTTACCACCGTGTGCAATGACAGCGCAATGTCCGTACTTGGTCCCGTTGTCGCGAGTGCCGCGCCGCCGACGTTATCGTCGGAGTGCTCGACGACCGCCATGGTCACGAGCGTCGTGACGGTGACGCCCGGGACGATGACGGGCGTCGTCAAATACGCCGTCAACTCGAATGCCGTCGACTGCACCAGTCTTGGGACCTTGTACAGCGGCCCGTTTCCAGTCGCCAAGCCTTCAGGGGGCGCGGCCGTGGTTGTGACGGCCATCACGTGTGTGCGCGGGCTCCTGTCCAGCACGGCACTGGTCGTCACTGTGCCCGTTGCCGACTGCTGTGCCAATGCGATTTGGTTTCCGTCGGCGGACCCGACGCTCGACTGCAGTCGCATGGCGCTCTTTCGAGATGATTTCGCGAATTGCGATCTCTCGCAGTGGACACCCGCGACAACACAGTTTGGCGGCGCCACGATCAACGGCGGTGTCCACGCCAACAACGTGCAGTGCGCGTTTGACGCAGCGCTGAACCGGTCGGTGCTCGTGCTCTTGGCCCACGGCGATGCGTACACAGGGGCAAGTCCCATCGGTGTCACCGTTGCCGCCAACGGATCTGGTACACTCTACTCAGACGATGGGTCTGATCTACTATGTATGTACTAGTTGTACCACGACTGGCAACGGCGCTATTCAGCGGCTGGGCCTTGCCGGGTTCCCCGCCATTTTTTCCCTGCAACCCCCGGGTTGAACTGTGTGCGACAAAGCGGGTGGGAGCGAGTGTCTCGACAACGGCGCGATGGAACGCTGGCAGTACGCTTGATAATTCTTTGTATCAAGTTGATACAACCCTGATCGGTGATGTGTAGTTGCGAGCTTCCTGATGCAACCGTGCACGGCGTTTGGCACGAGCTCGGACGCGTGGTTGCGCAACCTTACCGACGTCGTTGTCGACGTCAACGCGTCATACGTAGCGTACGCGGACCTCTGGCGCGCGAGCTTGGGCCAAGAACGTGCGCCGCCAGCGTTCCCGGATGTCGTTTTTTCCTACCTCCGAGCCGACACCGCGTACCATCACGTGTTCATTCAGTGGAACGCGAGTGAGGGGCGCGCGAACTTGTACCGCGACGGCCAACTCGTCGGCAAAACTCGCCGTCTTCCCATGACGACGGATCCGTCGGCGCTGACACTGAACCTCTGGTTCCCGAACGCGTGGGCAGGGCTGCCGCAGTTTGAATCGTGCGTCACCAATGTCGCAGATGTCCAAGTCGTGCAGCTCCAGGCGGCAGCCAACCGATGGTGCGACTTTGAACAAGCGTCGGTGGCTTGCACTTCGGATGCCGAGTGCATTGGGTGGACGTCAACCCACTGTCTCATGCCACTCGCGGTCGCCGTGTGCTATGACGGGCAGTGCCGCTTTCAGATGGACGCGACGTTTGGGGCGGCGGCCATCAAGGCAGGCAATCTCTTCTTAACGACCGTGTAAAGCTAAGGGCACCATACTTTCCTTGTATCAGAGAAACTTGTTGCTGCCGTGAACGGCTATGGCGGTGAGCTCCTTGAGATCTTTGAGGCTCCTGAGGCGCTTCTCAAAAGACGGGACGAGGGCGAGATCGTCATCCAGCACACGTGGTAGCGGACACGACCGCTTTTTCGTCGAATGATTGCTAAGTATCATTCCATTCATCTGTTGAAAATAATCAATTAATCAAACGGAGACTACCACGCGTTTAGAAACTAACTTCGCATACGCAGCGCTAGTTTGCTCAGTTTCCAATTTGAGTTGCAATGCCCAGCCCGTCTTCGCCTCGTAGAAAGAACACGCGCGCTGCATGGACCAAAGCACAGGTACGTTCGGCGGTCATCCGATACCTATCGTATCACGCGTCACTCGTAGATTGAAGCACTTGAAGTGGCCGTTACCAAGTACTCTGACAGCACTGGCCGCGGCAAGTGGAAGGTACAGCTCCCAATGTTGCAAGAGCGAGTCGTAACATCAATGTGGTAGGCGATTGCGGCCCAGGTACCCGGCCGGAACGACGCGCAGTGCCGACAGCGCTGGGAAGACTCCGCCAAACCTGGGCGTAAAGAAGGCCGATGGAGCAACACCGAGGACGCAGCACTCGTGGAAGCCGTCGAAAAAACCAAACACGTCACATGGCGCCGCTGGGCGATAGTGGCCGAAGCCATTCCGCTTCGCTCGTACGTTCGGACGGAAATTTCTCGAATCTTTGCTCATCTCGACGTTGCCTAGTGCCAAGCAGTGCGAATACCGGTACAAGCACCACCTTGCGGCCAAGGTTGCACCTCTCTCGTACGTTCTTTCATCCTCAAAGTTATGTGTACTAAAGTAGGGCTATTAGGGCGCTAACTCGTCTCAACACCATGGCAAACCAAGATCAACGTACGACACCACAGCTCCCAAGGTATACCTCACTCGATATCGATATTGTGATGGAAGACATGACATTAGCGATGACACATCTTCCATCATAACACAAGTCATAATGACTGCTCACTCATGGCGCCACTCGATACTGTAGTGTACAGCACCTTTCGCCGCAAGCTATCCGTGGACGACCCCTCTTGCCCGCCATGCAGTACCCAAGCAGTGGGATGCAAATGATGCCGTCCGTCGAGAGCAGCGACGCAAGAACCAAGCTGACGACTGAGATCCGAACGTTGCAGTTGCTCTTGACAAAGTCGACGGTCGCCACGTGCGCGCACCAGGTGCTCGACCTTGCGATTCAATGTGTTGCGGCGCTTCCGGCCGAGAACAATGCTGTTATGATGGGACTGCACGACCTGCGTGGCGCTCTTCTGCATCAACCCACAGCGTGCAGTACAACATCTTTGTTGCACATGACTCCACAGCTCGACCCACGGAGTTACTGCAACGACCACAACAACTACGACCGTCAAGCGAGAAATGCGATGGCCAACAGCTCCACGGATCCAGCACGACGACACATGCTCTAATGGCAGCAGCTGCAAACCACTTACGTGACCGCAGAGCGGTATCGAAGACGACTCGATCGAGTACAGACGATAGAACTAGTCTAGACATTTGCGCTTCCATTTTATCCAATGAGAGGTGACTATCAAATTTCCATTTTTCGCGGCTCATTGCCGCCGCTTTATCAACGAGTTTATGCAGCTCCTAGCCAACACGATAGGATCAGGAGCTCGTCCTTGATCTATATATCGAGGTGGTGGTCGCACGACTACTAAGGTAGCACAACGTCACCCCCATTTTGCATTGTGCAACGCAGACCACCAAAATGAGAGATTTGATGAAGCGAAATGACTCGACACACTGCGCCCACCCGAAGATGCAGCGGCCAAAGCGGCAACCAACCTGTGCCGCCACGCACGCCAAGGAAGACGACCCCACCAATGCCGCGCACCAGGAAGGACAAAGCGGCCAAGTCCAAGCGGCCAAGGTAAGAATGGGAAAATGGCTCGCGCAGCCGCGCTCAAGGGCACAGATGCTGGAAGAGCTCGTCGGCCACGTCCACACGGATGTCGGTATTGACTCAGTCTCTAGTGTAAACACAAGTGGAGTTCAATGCCTCCGTACCAGCCCCTTCGCAGGAACCTAGACCTTTATAGATTGCTAGTTAAGAGCGTCTAGCCAAGTAGAGGAAATCAAACGTCGACGGCGTACATGCCGCGGATGACCCGGGCTGTGGCCGCGCGCACCGGATCGCGTTCGTTCTTGATCGAGTCGTCGATATACTCCAAGCGGTCAAAGTACTGGTCGCGCCACCGGAGTCGGCCCTCGCCCGCGAACGTCACCTTGAGGACGAGCTCGCCGCAGTGGTTACCGTCCTTGAACAGCGGCGCTTCGAGCTCGACCACCCAGTCGCTGTCGGTTGGATCGCCTTGACGTGGCAGCATCGTCTGGAGAGGCACGGAGCAAATACCGATTTGGACGAGCTCGTCGTCCAGCTTTTGGTAGACGCGCGCCTCGAGCGTCATGAACACCAACTCTTGCGGCCGGAAGTCCATGCGATGGTTCCACGTCGGGCTGCTGCCGCGCTCCGCGGCGAATCCAGTGTGCGACTGATCTCCACCGAGGCTCACATTGCACTGCACCTCCATGGGGCGGGGATCTGTCCCGTGGAGGCCCTTGGCTTGTTGCACTTCAACTTGGACGTGCATGGGCTCTGTCACCGGCGGTTGCAGTGGGAAGAGGTACTTTTCGACCTCGCGGCGCAGCGAGTTGAGAACCGTGAGGATCGTCGGGCGCGACGAAGGCTCGAGCACAAGGCACTTCTCAACGATCGCCGCATAGTACGCCGGCGTCGAGGGGTCGAGGTTGTGCTGCAAGATCGGATCGTCGAGCGTGACGTTGGCGAGGCGCTGCTCGAGAGCGTGCTCGGAGATGACCTTGTCGCCAACGCGAAAAGACGAGTACGGAAGCGCGTGCGTCGCGAGCTCCTCGAGGACCTTCCCGAACGAGAAGATGGCGGCCTTCTCCGAGTAGCGGGCACGCCCCGCGTTCATTGTCTCTGGTGCGGCCCAGCGCACGTCGCCAACGTTGCCCGTCATGGTCCCGAGCGACGGTTGGCGCAACTGGCTAAAGCCCGTGAGCACGACACGGTGCTCATCGTCCACGAGCACATGGAACGAGTTGATGTCGCGGTGCGTATGATCGATCGCATGGAGCTCGTAGAGGCCGCGGGCGATGGTAAAGGCCATAACGAGGCGTGTGGTCCACGGCAGGGCAGCCGCAGCGGGCGTCTTCTCGAGAAGGTTCCGGAGGCTGCCACCCGGCATGTACGGCATGTAGATCGTGGGGTTTTCACTCATGTCGTTGAGCCCCGACGCGCCGAGGATCTGGATCAGCGAGCCGTGCCCGCCGTTCAACCTAGACGATAATATCTTAGATGCTATAGGAGGTTGAGACAAACACACCGGCGCAAATTGGCAAACGAGCGCTTGACCTTGTCCAGCGTCGTTACAAGCGCCCCATTCCAGCGAAGTGCCTCGACGGCGGACGGGTCGAGACTCTTGCGCACCAACGTGACGACCTCGTTGTTGACCCGGTTCTTGAGGCTGACCTTGTGCAAGATGAAGAGGTCGCCGCGCCAGAGCGGCTGTTCATCAACGAAGTCGACTTCTTTGGCATCAATGTACGGCGTCGACTGGAGTGTGAGCACGTCCGCCCGCTCTTGCTGGAGCTTCTTCTTCTCTTCTCCCAGCGCGTTGAAATGCTTTTGGTATTTGGCTTCGAGTTGCTGGTGCGCAGCTTCGAAGTCCCGGTCGGCCATTAGATCGCCGCGAACGTCCGTCCATCGTCTCAACAGAGCGAGCTCCACCTCGAACGTCTCGACTTGCGACGCAAGCGCTGCGTAGTCTTCGAGGAGCTTCTTGTTGGCGGCTGTGCCTTCGTAGGACGCGTGGACCAGCTCGAGTCGCTCTTCTACCGGCGGCATCTCTTCACCACAGTGCGCGCAGAGCGAGGCCGTGGGCACATTCTCTTCGTTGCACCACTCGCACGTGACGGCAAGCTTCATCTCCATCATCTTTGGTGGCAAATGACCAAGTGACGGATGAACGGCGCGCGATGGCAGCTTGTCAGCGGTCAGCGCTCGTTGAGGCTGGATCGCCGCCACCGACGCCTCCTCCGTGGACGCGTCTCCACCGGGTGTCGCATGCGGCGTCACACGCGTCACCGGCGGCGCCATGTCGTCCTGCACCGACGGCCCATTCGGCGTCTTTTCGACTTGACGCTCGAGCGGCAGAGAGGCGACAGCGTCGGTCACGTTGCTTCTTGTCGTCACGCGTGTCGTGTCCATGCGTGGCATGGCCTTGTCGATGTCCACGGATGACGAGAGTGCTTGCGCCGCCAAGTCGCGCTTCTTGCAGAGATCGAGCGTCGACGGCCCAGCTTCAGCATTGCGCAAGTACTCGGTCGCCCGTCGCTCAAAGTGCTCGAGGTACTCGCGGAGGCAACCGCCAAACTGCACAGCAATGTCCAAGAAGCCGACGATGTCACCGTCCTTGAAGATCGGATACGTCGTTGGCCCCACCGTCGTCAAAGCCGACGCGTTCATCGCCAGCTTGAGGAATTCCATGAGCGGGATCGAGATTTTCCCGATGGTGCTCGTCGTCGTCGCTGTCGACTTGAGAGTGACCTCGACGGTATGCGCAAGCGGCTCAATGTCGCGCAGCGTCGCATATTGGTTGACGGCATGCGTGACGCTGCCGGTGACACGCTCGAGCTGGATCGGGTCGCGGTCGCAGTCATCGATCTTGAGCTCGCACCACATGTCGTAACTGGACGCAGAAACCTTTGAGGTCGGCACCACGGTCGTCGTGACGAGCGTGATTGTGACGTCGACCTTGATATCGTTGGGCGTCGTACAGCCAAGACCGCCGTTGTACGCTTGGCGGATCATCTCAAGCCGGCGGACGACTTCATGCGCCGTGGGCCGGCGCTCCGGGTCGTACCGGATGCAAGCAAATGCGAGCGCCTCGTACTCTTTCGACGGACACTTGTTCGGGTCGTCGAACGGCTGCGTCAGCATCGGGATCGCGGTCTCGCGCTTCGAGAGCCGGACAGCAACAAGGTTGTCATCGATGGGAACCGCCCGCCCACGAGAGGTCACATGCGTGAACGGGAGCTCACAGGTGACGAGCGAGATCAAAACCAGGCCAAGTCCGAAAATATCGATCTTGTCCGTGTACGTCGTGGCATCATTGTCGTCGGTCTCTGCCAAAGTCTCAGGGGCACCCCAGCGAGCTTCTGTGATACCATTCGTGAGATAAGACTTGTCCAGCTGGACTTGGCGCATCTTGAGGCCAGCGAAGACCTTGACGTCGCCAGTCGCATCGACAAAAACGCTGGACCACGAGACGTCGCGGTGCATACACCCGAGGTCGTGGAGGTGCACCATGGCCTTGGCGACTTGCGACGCGATCCAGAGCTTCTCGGACCACGTCGCGTCTTGCTTGACCATGAGGTACTCGCTGAGGGGCAAGCCCGTGCCGTGCTCGACGTACGCGATCGGGTCGTTCGAGTCGAGGTTGCAACCGCCAATGAGGCGGAGGAGCGTGCCGTTGCCGCCATCGAGCCTGGAAGACAGTGAGCATAAACTTGTGGAACTAGGGCGAAAAAACGTACGCTTGCATAAGGGCTAGGGTCTTCTTGAAGCGCAGAAGAACGTCCTTGTCGCCTCCGAATTGGTCCTGGAGCTGCATGCGCAGCACGAGCGTCCCGTCTGGGAGCCGGCCGGGCGTGAGTTTGGCAAATGGATAGTCGCGCTTGTCAAAGCCAAGGGG